TATTGGAAGAATATCTGATATAGATCGGACGTGTCTACAGGTGGCGTTTAGTGGGATGTCCAGTATTCTTGCCTTCATTAAGAATCATCAGAAAACGGCATGAGGTTGATTGAATTCGCGGCAGCAAAACACATGGTAGTTAGCAGCACCAGATTCAAGAAGGCCAACTGGACTTTTTCAGATCAAGCAACGAGAAATCAAATTAGTCATGTTTTGGTAGTCGGAAAACATTCATCCAGTGTTTTAGACGTTCGATCGTGCAAAGGAGCGAATATGGATTCGGACCTTTACCTTGTAGCAGCCAAGGTTCGCACTCGTCTTAATGTAGCAGCAAGGTTAGGTTAGGGATGTACGGTCGTTAGTAACAACCGTCCACTCGGAGACTATTGTCCATTGTGATCATCCATGTCAGATTTTTGACAAAGCCTAGGATATGGTTGGGGTCTATTTTAGAGAATTTCATATCTTCAAAACTGTTTATGTCGTCTGCCGATCACCGATGTACATCTACAGAGGATATGTTCAATTGTTCCAGCTCTTCTTCGTCCTCACATAGACGACAGTAATCCTCTCCGCTGGAGTCCCATTTCGAAGTGAGAGATCTAATCTTGCAGTGACCTGTTATGATCCTCTCAATGACTTTGATCTCTCTCTCTATTATTATGTGCCAACATCGAAGAAATTATTCGGCGAGAGAATTCAGGCCAGATAGCTATTCAGATTCTGCAACCATGTTCTCTCGACCATCCCCGTAGAATAAGCGAATTTTCTCAATGAAATAGGCAATGAGTGGTTGCACAGATCTCTCAATCGGAAGATTGGACGTTCCCTTCAAAGTCACTATGCCGTGGAACCCAACATAAGTTAACTATCTGTCGTGTATCATTCAGAGCGGACTTTCAATCAAGAACTGCTTTTGAGTTTATAGTACACTTCAAAGCCTTGAGGGCCGCCTGATTATCGACATATATAGTCACCGGTCCCGTATTGTCGGCAGTATGTGTTTTTACTATCTCAGCCGCTTTCGTGATTGCAAGGATTTCTGCTTGAAAAACCTACAAAGATTGGTAAGTTTATATGAGTTGTATATTCCTAATTCCCTACAGTAAACGCCTGTACCAGTGCCTTCCTCCATCTTTGACCCGTCTGTGAAAAATGACAGACCTGGCAGAGCTAAGGAGCCACTAGTCCAGGATTCCCTACTTGGAAACTCAACTTTGATGCCATTAATGTATCTAAGAGAGGGAACATAGTCACTAATGTGAATATTTTTTTTTTCAAGAAATCACAACCTGGCGTTATGTTGTGGATACTAGCGTGACCATAGTTCAGTTATTTGCAGGCATCTATTTCTCGCAGCCTGGAATTTAATCAGAATGTCCAGTGGTTGGAGATTCAGGATCGTATTCAAGGCTGCCTGTGGTGCTTAGTGCTCCGGTAGTAAGGATCCAATCCGATCGCTATACTGAATTTAATTTTATCCGCAGTATCTTTTTGTTGACCCCTTGCCACCATACAAGGCAGCCATAGGTAAGATCTGGTCTTAGTCCCCAGATCTTACCTATGGAGTTCTTGCAAGAGTAGAGTTCTATCAGTCGTTTCTTAGAGCGTTCCTCAACATTCCTATTCCACGTTAATTTGCGGTCAAGGATTGTACCAAGGTATTTTGCTTCTTCAGAAAGGGTTAGGGTCACTCCTCCAAGAGATAGCAAGCGGAAACTAGGAATCTTACGTGAAGAGCACCAATTCTGTCTTAGTGGGGTTTACACCAAGATCCTTGGCGTGTGCCCAGTTGGAAGGGCACCCTCCATAATATCTGAAATTGTCATTTGAAATTTCCCACCAACCAGCCAAAGTCGGAAGAAGGCAGTCACGAATGGGAGCTCCAAAATTACTTTGGAAACCCCAATATTGACTGGAGAAGGGGCTTATCAAAAGTCAATCTGCTATTGATAACCATATGCCAACAAAAACCACAGCTCCACAACCAAGAAGGAATTCCTACGAATTAGGAAACTCCTTATGTAGTAAGAGAGGAATTCCTGGTCTACAGAATTCCCACCTGTCACACAATGGTTATCCCTGTTGAGACCCCAACCAAGATGAAGATTAGGGATAACCATAGTACTGGAGCAAAACCCATGGCAGATACTATGATTAAGAAATTAAGCGTGAATGCAATGGCTCCAGCGGTAGCTGTCCTTTTTATACCCTACACAACTATGTTGTCAGGGCATTATAGCTTTGTGCAGCCCTAAGAGTTTGTAACGCCTCGAAATATTGGTCCTAGACCCACCTTTAAGTATACCGATCGTCATATCTCGACTAGCTGAGTCGATCTAGACATGTGTGTCCGTCCGTCTGTCCATTATAATTTGTAAACACGATACAGGCCACAGTTATGACTATTATAAGCATGCCTGTTTTTATAAAGATCGGTCAATATTTAGCGGGTCAAATGGACGCTGACTTTTGTGTGAAAAATTGTATTCTATAGCGTATATATTTACTCCTGATGGACATATACCCTAGAAGTTGGCAGTATATCCAAGAGGAGTGGTTGGGCCTTTAAATTGATACCAAATATATTGTCGTATGTACTCGGATGTGGGAGTTACACGTAAATATTTACGGGTGCTTACGTACTGAGACATTATTTAGTAACCCATTACCACACTAGAGGGCAGAAATATATCGCTGATCGCTTGGATGAATTGGACCGAAAACTTATTTTTTGTGTTTTTTTCGAGTCGATCTATAGGCCACAATTGAAAACCGTACAACAAATATACTGTACAAATATCGCGAAATATTGCCCAAGCTCAGAATATAGAACCACAGAGAGTTAGAATTTCATGGAAGTTATGTAGGGTATCATATGGTCGTCAGCGTCCGACTATACTGCACCGCTCACTGGTTTTATTATTCGATTTGTAGGAACATAGTTTCTAGATGTAATCATAGATGATTGTAAGTTGATTGTGTACACATTCAAATATTTCAATCTTCGGCCTCATATGCTCCAGCAGTGGAGTGAGAAGACGAAAATTCGAACCAAGTTGTAATGCTTCACAGCAACCTTTTTAGCCGAAACAAATGATTCGAGATGACTTGAAAGTAATTTTCTGTATTATACCAATAGACCATGATCACCAAGCGAAGAACCGCCTGAAGTCGTTTGCCGTCAAACATTGGACGCAGCACCTGTGGACCACAGCACATGATGAGATGAAGATCCTTCCCTTACGACAGCATTACAATATACTCAAGAGAGAATCACCATATGATAGATGAAACTCCCACACCAAGGTGTGCCAAGAAGGATCTAAATGATCTAGAGGGGAAGAGACCCAACAATATAATAGTGGACATCGAGATCAAGATGCCTACCGACCAGATCTGAATATCATTCACACATCACGCTGCATATTTTCAATTGTCTAGCAAAGAATACTATTACCACGGAAGATCTGCGACAGTAGCCAGTAGAAGTAGATGAATTTCTTAAATTGAGGTTAAGTTCAGAACCTGGCAGAATAAATGAAGGAAAGAAAACTATTGGTCTGTTCTCGTACTGCAAAAATCTATGTATACAACCAGTTATTTGTGAAATTCGAAGTTATATGTTGTTTGTGAAATTCGAAGAACCGCATGGTGAAACAGGGAGTTCCACAAGATGGTGTAATCTCTACAGAACTAACAACCTTTTCCATCCACAATCAAAGCATGGTATAGAGGTCGTAATGATCATGACGACGGATTGATGGCATATGTGAGAGGATAAACGTCTACATAGCCGATCTTGTGGGTTTCTTCCATCTAAGGAATATGGCAATATCCACAGCCACACTGTTCACAACTACATCTGAAACGAAGATCCCGATGGATCTTCGATGGAGAGCAAAACCCCATCGCCAACTACCTCATGTCGTGCTATTTGCAATAAGCTGAAAAAATTAATAAGGTCCACACGCCAATGGCCGGCAGCACATGAAGTGCTAATAAGGCCATCTTGTTTACCTCCCTAAAAGCAAACGTGGTTAGCTATGCGGCGCCATGTAGGTGCTACGCAATGGAAGAATGTTCAGACCTACCAAAATGACGCCCTGAGAACTACAGAGTGTATTCTTAAGAAACAAATTTATCATCTTCATGTTTGGGCCTAAGACTCCCCTGCCATAGATTTATAGCACGTCAGAAGAGATATTCATGATTTAGATAAAGGTCCAAAGCTACAAACGTGATAAGGCATGCCTGAATATTATTCAAACAAATGAAGTCGCCAGGCTGTAGAGCAATACCGTATGAATGCTTTAGCAGCAGTGGAGAAGCACCTAACACTCGCCCAGCATGTGGACTAGGACCACATGACAAAGCCTATTCACCTGTCTCCGAATTCTCTATGGAAGCACCGTATACAGGTTGCAACCTTCATGAATTTGGACACATGGAATCCGATAGCTCCTTCTTCTATTTCAGTTGGTGGAACAACAATATTTGCTTGCTTTCCCCAAGGTATATTTATGTTCTTTCTGACCGTCTTGATATTCCAAAGGATTGCGTCATTGTGCGTTCCCCCCAAGTTAATAAACAATTTCATATTTCCTTATATTTTCAAATATGTCAATTTATTATTAAAATTTGTTGCAATTGACTGATTGAATTTTTTTTACAAATATTTGTTATTTATCTAAATATTAAATATTTTTGTTTTTAATTCAAGGGTTTATTTTTATTGAATATTATATTCAAATATAGTATATATTCTACGATTTTGTTCTAAGGAAGAAATTTAGATTTTCTTTTTTTCAACTAAAATAAAACAAAATAATTATTATCACTACATATATAATTAATAATTAGCTTACGAAGATGGGTGGGGTGGTATGAAAACGAAAAACAAATCAATATAAATTAATAATGATGAGATACAGTGTAAAATATCGCATGAATGACGAGAAACGACCATAATAATGATGATGTTGGGCTGCTGCAGCACCAGTTAGGTTCATACAGATTCATAACGTGATTTCATCATTTTCTTTATATATGTCTTATAGTCGTCATTGGGCCCGGCACCGGAATGAATGCCCAAACCGGCTGTTGAATTGCGGGTGCTGGCCTGTAATGAGAATGAGAATTAGGATCTGAAGCATAAATTACGTTCTGGGATTACCTACCTCAATAATATTTGTTCGTCCCTGATTTTTACGTCCCAAACCCTGACCCTCGGACCAACCCATTTTCTGTAGTAGACGATTGCCTACATTGTTGGAACCGATTGGCATAACCGGTGCCGCTTCCGATTTACGTGAGTTCAAACTTTTAATTTCCTTTTCGAAGAATTCACGACTGGGGTTGGGTGGTGGCGGATCGTATTCGCCGTATTTTTGTCTTCTTTCTTTGGCTCGATCGCGATAGCTGTGCGGAGGTAAAAAGTTAGTAAGGATTATTTGTATGCATTTTTCATATTAAAAAATAACTTACGATAGAGCTGCTGCCAGGGAATCTTTGTCACTTTCCATGTGCATAGAACTTCCCGGGCCACCGCCACCTCCCCTCGCGGCGTTTAATTTTGCCAAATTCTCTTTATGCAAATTTGACATTTTCAAATGTTTCTGCAGAATTTCCAACGACTGGAATGCTCTCTTACAAAGCAAACAGGTGAGTTTCTGGAAATCCACATAATCCTTTTCACTTGCCTCTCCTGGCGAATGCGCCGCAGCCTTATGTGACAGAGCTGCTGCTGCGGGCGGTACATCTTCATCCGAATCTGAACCATATGCTGGTATTAGTTTATTTGGAGCACTCAATGTCATGGGCGACATAAAATTGGGTGATAACTTATTGCTAGCCTTCTTTTCAAGGATGGAGAAACCCACATCTGCATAACCACCACCTCCACCACCTGCCGATGATGTTCGCATCGCCTCACTGGATGTTTGTGCAGATTGTGGTGGGGCAATTGGTACATAATCTTTCTTTTGATTTAATTGCTTTGCCCATTTTTCCATATCCTTAACAATCTTTTTGGCCACTTTCACTTTGTCATGTTTATTACCATGGCCGCCACCTTCTTTTTTCTCTTTCTTGGTTTCGTTGTCTTCGCTTGTGCCTGATGTTGTTGTTGTTGCTGCAGTTGAGGCAGCATTGGAGGTAGACGCTTCACTTTGTTCCGTTTGTTGAACAGCAGCCTGTACAGATGCTGTTACAGCTGCAGGGGTGGCCAGTATATAGGTACTCTTGCGCTGATCCCAATACAAATAGGCTCCCGTTTCATTGTTGTAATAATATTGGGAATGAGCATCATAATATAAACCGGTTGTTGGGTCATAATAATATCCCGATGTCTCATCATATTGATAGAGAGATACATCAGGAGTGGCTGCAATGAAATTTCAAAATATATTCTTAAAGGACTCCCTTCTTCCTTTTGGTTGCTATTCTAATTCTACTTACGATATATTTTGCCATCATTGCCTTTGGGTGTTACCACTGCCGGTCTCAGAGCAGAAGCGGCGGCAGCAGCAGCCGCTGCAGCTGCGGCCGCCGCAGCCGTGGCTGTCGTCTCAATACTATTCATTTTGGCCTGTTTACGCTTGATGGCCGATAGAGCCACGGCTGCCCCCGAATTTGCCTCAGTCACCTGACTATCGGTGGGCAAATTTGTATAACAACCACTGCTAATTTCCGATATATAATATTCCGTATAATATTGTAAATATTGAGCATGTTCGGCTGGTGTTGTGGCATAAAGGGAAGCACTGTATTCAGCTAAACGCGGCACATCATCCAGGGTATATTGACCTGCCACCGATGACATTGAGGCAGCAGCAGCACTACTTTCAGCAGCTGTCATTGGTCCAATAGCGGATGATGAGGAAGTTTGACCAGATTTCGAACCCGAACCGACGTCCGATGAGTCTTTTTTCTTTTTCGGTACAATTTGACGATTTTCATGATCCACACAATAGGTGACAAGGACTACAAAAAAGAAAACATTTTAATTTTTATTAAATTTATCCTCAATTTCAACTACTCACCCTCTTTCTCATCAATTGTGAGAGGCGGTTCCAGGGTGCTCAATAAATTATGCATATTCATTGAATCCACCAGTGTATCGAAATTCAAATAGCATATACCGCGTGATGTTTGTGTTAGGGCATCCCGCGACACCAGAACCTTGGTAATCTTCTTGGCCAGATCGGGTGCATGTTTTGTAATTGCTGTTAAAACGCCCTCCTCATTGGTCAGCACATCCAAATTGCGTAACATAATCTCTGCATTGAAGTGGTAGAAGTAGGGAGGAGTTTCATTTTGATTAACAACAATTTACAAAAAATGGTGAACAGAACACATCAGAACAATAGGAAAAAATCTCTATTTTTTGTGAAATTATTAGCAAATGTTTTTTGTTTCTTTTTTCAAAAACAAACTATTTTTGATTTTTGAAAACTGTTCTTAAAGAATAGATGAAGAAAAATTGAATTGTGTGAATATGTGTGTATACTTTTGGTAAGAATGTTGCTTATTTCATCGCTGCCTTCGCCGTATGAACTGTCGCCACGCGAGGCAAGGCATTTGAAACAACTGTCGCGTCGTCTAAAGTTAAAAACGTAACACTGCAAGGAAATGGAGTTGGAAATCCAAAATTAGTAAATATATTGAGATATGTAGTAATTTTGCTTCTTACCTTGCCACAATACCATTCGCTGCGTTTTGAATTGCCATCTTTGGAATTATGACTAAGCGACATATCATCATCGTCGACAGAGCCGGATTGTTCGCCCTCGTCACGTGAAGCATGACATCGGAAGCAATTTCCACGTCGCTTAAAATTGAATAGACCACACTGTAAAGGAATACGAAGAATGAAATTAAAGATAAGAGATATTTAAAAAAATTATAAAAAACTATTAAGGAAAGTAGTAAAGTGGGATTGGGCCGACTATATGACACCCTTCACCACTTTGGGTATATTCTACATAGTCTCCTAACAGAAAGAACATTGATATGAAATTGAACAAAAGATATTTAGGGCCTTTGGCACACCATTTACATAGAATCGGACAAACATATATATAGGAGCTATATCTAATATAACCTATTTTTGATGCTCAACACAAGACTTTAAATATTTGTGAAATTGTATTTTTTTTTCTTCTTTTAGGCTAAAATAGATTAAATGGACATTATACTATCCAAAAAATATTATTATGGAAAAATATTGTCATGTTCAATAAATTTTAGTTAACCATCAAACAATTCTGATATATTTTTTGATAAAATATAGTATTTGATATGCCAAATTTCGTTCTTTTAGGTTAATTCCCAAGTTTTTATTTCAAATATTTAAGATTATTATTTATAATTAATGAAAATATATATGGTGTACTGTACAAATTTTTGGCGATTTTGATAGATTTTATAGATTTTTTCAAAAATTTTTATCAGTAAATGACTTGATCGATGCTTAGTTTACATAATTTAACTAAAATAAAGAGCTTTTTTAAAAATATTTTCAAAAAATACAGTAAAGTAAAAAAATCACACAATGTTTTAATTATATGGCCACTTCAAAGTCGATGTATTTTCATAAAAACCGTTATTTTTAGAAAAATTGCATGCAATAATTTTCCATTTTCACATTAAATCTGTTAAGTACAGTATATCGAAGTGTTCTGAATTAAAAAATTTTCAAAAATACTTCAAACGATTCGAGGGCTGATCAAAAAATGTTTACCACAGTAAATGTTTTAATTCTGTGACCACCACTGTATATAAGAGCTATATCTAAAAATGAACCGATTTTCAGGAAACTTAGCACACATCATTTTAGACTCAATTCAGTATGATATGCCAAATTTCGTGCAAATCGAAAGATATATAGGGACGAAGTGAAGTGAACTGAAGACTGAGCTAGATATCATAGTGGATGACAGAAGAATTGCCACAGTCCAACCTTTCTTAGGAATGAAGTTTAAAGGGGGCGGCATAACTCATACAGAACGACTATTGGCTTTCTTTCCTCAGGAGGTACCTGTCAGAGCTTTCAGGACCTTATTTTTGTTTGGTGAAATTGAGCAGATTATCAAAAACTACTCTCAGAATTTTGTGATGTTGGACTGTCGGAATTCTTCGGTCATCGAAGAATGATATCTAGCTTCAGTTCACGTGCCCAGGAGGTAAATAGGGATATAATTAATTTCCTTTCCTGCATGAATGTTCAGATGGTCATCTATGTCGACTCCGGACGACATGATTGTACAGTCGTCTGCGTAAAATACCATCTTAAAATCGAGAGGTTGTGCAGGAAGCGTCACAAGTTAAAGATTAAATAGCAGTGGACTCCTCCCTGTGGAACAGGTAATAAGAGGGTAGGCAGGTAGGGCGGTATGATTCCGGTTTTAGAAGTGGGGTTATTCTGGCTACCTTCCAAATCTCTGAGACTACTAGTAAGTTTAACGATTGAGGTATGATTGTTGTCAGACAATCCAGAGCTATTGGGCCGAGATGCTTTAGCATGAACATAGAGATGTCATCCGGCCATGCCTTCGATATTATGGCTTGAACTTCTGAAGCTCAAATGGAGCAGAAGAGATTCTTAATCTTCTCAATGTGAATCTGTAGGTCCGTTTCCGGTCCGAACAGCTGTTCAAACCATTCAACTTGGTCAATGCCCAATGCTTCGATAGAAACTTTGATCCTTTCTCCAAAATAGACCCCAAAATCATTTACAGCCTTTCTAGCAACAGTGCTTCCAAAACTTTGGCTACAGGTGATAAGAGGTAGATAGGGGGTATGATTCTCCTAAATGAGCTGTTTTTTCTGATTTTAGAAGTGAGATTATTCTGGCTATATCAAAAACTCTGGAACAACTAGTAAGTTTACCGATTGAGGTATGATTGTTGTCAGACAATCCAGAGCTATTGGGTCGAGATGCTTTAGCAGGACCATATAGATGACCATAGAAGGTTTTGCCTTAAATATTATGGCTTGAACTTTTGAGGCTGAGAAGGGGAGCAAGGATTCGTCTCACGTTGGAGCTTCCTGAATCTTCTAAATGTGGCTGTAAGGTTCTCCAAAATAGACCCCAAAAATTTAATTCAGCTTCTCTACTCTATAAGGACTTTATGGGATGATCACAATGGACAATCGTCTCCGAGTGGAGCAGCGGCCTTTTTGACAACCGCGCATACTATCTTTGTCTGTAATAGTTGTCATATAGACTACAGTTTTTCCATATTTCCTCAGCATATGGTTTTGGACATCGCGAAACGCATCAAAGGATTGGATACGTGTTTCAGTGCTAAAATTATTGAATGCCGATTAAATCGATGATGGAAACAGCCTGTGTATAATTTCCTGTCGATGTGGTGTACTACCAAATACGGGTTTATTTTAACCTATCATTTAGGTTGTGTAGGAAATATTAGGTTAGCTTTTTTCCCATAAATTTTCTGGTGTTCAAAGAGTTAATGCCAAAAAACTTAACTATTAATGAGCACGATTATTCTCAGTCAATATGTACTTAAATATAAATTTTAGAAAATATATATATGCAATACTAACCATGCCACAATGCCAATCCTTTGATAGACTATATTGCAAGGTAGCACGACATGTTTCGTTCAGTTGCAGGATACCCTATAATGGGGAGAAAAAAAGAGAAAAGAAAACAAAAATTGTATATTAGTTTAAGATTATTCAAGAGTCAACATTCCACAGACTACACAAGTCACCGGTATGATGGATATCATTCATTTCACAACGTTTCACAGTTTGGTTTTTCCACTAAGTAGCTGTAGTGGTAAGTAGGTAGTAATGTGCCTTGTTTGTTTATTTCTTGGTCGGCTCTCTTCTAGGTTAACGTTTTGTTTTATTTTTTTGCTATGATGAAGTGTGTCGCATATCATTTTGTTTGTTTCATTATTTTTTGTTATATGTTAAATCCAAATACACCCACTCACATATATATTCCCCATGTTTTCCTTTATGATGATGTATTGTCGGTCGGTGGGTCGGGTATTATGTAATGTCACAAAATTGTCAGTTGCTTTGTTTAATAATTTAAGAAGGTCTTCCAGAAAATTGGTCATTTAAAATACCATCGAATTATTCTAATTACAGAGAAATCGATCATTTTGAAAATCATTTTCATAATGTCTCAAAAATATATATTCAACTGCTTGGCTAGGTCGTGCCAGTATAACAAGAATCAAATCAAGAAGCCGGAATATTTACTTCAATAGTAAAAATAAAAAAAGTGACTTGAATGAGTCTCAAGTTGTTAGCAAGGGAGGTTTGTTTTGTCTTTCCATACATTATATATTTTTTGGAAAAAATCAAATTTCTGTCCTTGGTATTTTTTAAAACACATATCTGTTTTTTAAACAGTTCTTCTTCTTCTGGTCTAATAAAGTCGTTCTTTTCCCACCTAAATAATGGCTCCTATCTATTATCCATTTGACCATCGTCCCCAAAAATTCCCCCATCTGTGATTGTCCATAATGTCATCATCATCATCGTTATCTTCGTTATTTTTATGCAATTTATTTTACACCACACCATATTCATACGTCATAACTCTTTTTGTTTTTGTTTGGGTTTTTTGTAATTGTGTTGTTGATACCTGAGTATATTCCATCCAGAGTGCAGCTTCTTTAGTCGTATTAAACTCGACGAATGCAAAACCACGTGATGCACCTAAATAATTTGAATAAGAAGCAAATACAAAATGTTTTTGTAAAATAATCAACATATTTTTTTTGTTATGTATGAATTGGAAATATTAGGGTAGGGAAATGGGTAGCAGTATTTTTTTCTCATATTTTCTTCTGGCAGAATTTATTGCGTTTCATCCATTGCATATACTTACGCTTTGATGGTATATATATTTTTTGCTTTTTGTTCACTTTTTAAATATATTTTCAAAAAAACATATATCGTTGATAATGAAACCTACCTGTTGTACGTTTACGTATCAGACGTATAGCGGCTGGGGCCATTTCTGCCTTAATCAATAAGCTCATGATCTAAAAAGTATGTACAAAAAACAATTATTTAATATACAATCACTTAAATATGAAATATAACTCAAATCTTACATCTGCCTCGGTGATATGTGGCTGCAGACCAAATGCAATAATTGTACTTGAGGGTTTTTGATTTTGACTGCTATAATATTGAGCACTCATGGTCTCATCACTGTCATCGCTGTCGCGATCATCGGTGTTATAACGGCGATTATTATTGTTGCCGTTACCACCTCGAGATCCACCATAATTTTTATTATCCCTATCTCCTCCATCACGGTCTCTATAAAAAAAATTATTTAAAAAATCCATTGCCATTACTTCTCTCCTGGCCTTACATACCTTCTATCGCGATTGTCATAATCACGATCACGATTTCCTCTTGATCTATCATTGTAATAACGCTCATCACCACCATCATCATAATAATCATCTTCATTGCCACGTGAACGAAATTTACTATTACCGCGTGAATTATTACCCGAATTTCTATCATCCTGATAGTCTTGATTGATAATATCACGATACAAATCATTGTCGTTATTATTGTCATATCTGTAGCCACCACCGCCGCCACCACGTTCACGTGATCTTGAACGTGAATTACGTCTATTCATGCGATAGTTTTGATCTCGACCGCGTTCTCTGTAATTTTTTTTAATATTTAAAATTAAATATAAACAAGATGGAAAGTACTATTTTATGTTGTAATTTTACCTTGATCTTGATCGCGACCGACTGTAACGTCGATAAGAACCGCGGCCACCATTGTTGTTGTTATTATTTCCACCATTACGAAAACGTTCTGGAAATACACCAATGTTCCAATGTTGGTTTTAATTGAATGCACAATAATCGGCAAAGGATTAGGATTTGAAATAAATGATAGTGTTTCCTTTGAAGATGTACTTTATAAATCAATATAAGTCCTTTTTATCTTTCAAACCCATTTACGCCATAACACCCATTACTCCTCATAATTTAGGTTCCACGAACAAATTTCTTTTAAAAAATCTACGCACGCTTATGGATTGTAAAAATATTTTTAAACAAGTGAAAAGGCGTTAAGTTCGGACGAGCCGAGTTCCACCATAAGTATACTGAAGGTTCCGACCACACGAGTAACAATGGTACAGCGTATGAGGTTAGAAAGTGTGCCTAAAACCTCCGATGTATGCAGAAACAGGCTAAATATTTAGAAAATCTGGAAGTATCATTATATGGTACCGATATAACTCATTATCGAACCTGACCTTTCAATTTAGCATCTTGCTATTGCCCCTGGTTTGGGTACTAGTGAGAAAAGTATTCTTTGTAACTTTGACCATATGCGAACGAAACTAGTGGCTTATGCCGATAATGTTCAGTAATTTTGCAGGGTGCAATAGTAGGATTGTCTGGGAGGGCACGACAAAACGCTTTTGGAATTAGCCCTGGAACTCTCTTTGGAGGGCTAATACCTCGGTGCCCTCCTATACTATCGTTTATCATGGAAAAATAACGTTGAGGAGCGTTCATAGAAAGGTCTAGTAGCACCGTACTCTTTGAAGGGACTACCGTGGTGGTCTTCGTACTGGATCGGGGAATCCTTTCAATCAAAAGTCCCTCGCAATATTATTCGGATAGTTCCTGGAGAATTTCCGGATGAATTTGTGGTTGCTCTTGATCAAAAGGAATTCCTTTCCCGTGATGGAGTCGCTGTCCCGACTGATGAATTGGTTGCAGTAGTTAACTGTTCTCCGGTACATATTCTTTGCAGCGATCATCTCATCAGTACCAGTATCTGCTTCGACAGTCAACTGCCTGAGTAATCTCCGATATCACTGCAGGCCATGAATATTGAGTGCGGATCGTCAACTTCGTCAGGGTTTACATCCCTACTCATCATCTGCGAGGACTCACCTTGCTTCGGAGGAGACACCAGGATCGGTACCGTTGTTGTCACCGTAGTGCTAATCACTGTAGTTTCCATGATGTCTTCCTCGTCTGACAAGGGTGAGTCATCCCAGAGCTAATTCGTGATTTGTTATTCACAGGTACTCAATGAATAGTATTGAATCAGAGAGTGATGGGCGGGTAAGCTTCCTTCTGTTGATGGTCTGTCGATATATACAGATGGTTCGAAGGTGAAAGAAGGTACATTTGTGGGAGTTTTCCTTGAAGAACTTTCGATTAAGAGCTCATACAAACTAAATCATAATTGTAGCAAATTTAGAAACTGTCAGTAGACACTGGTTAAGTGATAGGAACCTCTTGACAGTCGCGTATCTCTAAGTATGAGGTAGTATCGATGGCTATAGAGATCGGACAGAAGATATATTACGTATCAAGGATGCAGTTTCCCAACCACTTTAGATTAGAGTAGGTTCCGTTGTTGAGAAGAAACTAAGACACGGTGGAAAGTGAGCACCCATTAGTCTGTGCCGTCTGTAGGCCAGGACTGGGCAGCGACTCAGGAGATGCTCAATTGTCTCCGTTTCCTCCTCGTCAACGCAGTGTCTACAGTAATCAGTAGTATCGTGTTCCCATTTACTGTCATTACTCTTATTTCAGTGTGTCCCTTTGGTAGACAGAGTCCGCCAAATAGACCTTGACACATTGCACCTAGGCTATGAACGTTGTGCCAAAGTTCATAGTCTCTTTCGTCGCAGGATGCCTCAAAGATCCGATAAAGATGACATATGGGTGGTTTGAGTGTGCCATCAATTGTTAGACCTGTAGATTGAGATCCTCGTCTAGCTAATTCGCCTGCTCTTTCATTACCCATGATGTCACGGTGTCCTGGTACCCAACACAGCCCATAGCTGTAAGTAAGTTCTTCCAAAACTGTTGTACACTTGAGGACAGCCTCAGATTTGATGTAACAGGATGTAATGGCTTTAAGAGCCGCTTGACTACCCACAAAGATAGTTACCGGTACAGACTTTTTATTAATTCCGCTGCCTTCCAAATCGCGAAGATTTCAGCTTGGAAAACACTACAGTTGCTATCCAGATTGTAGGTAACCTCACGGCCTAGCCTTTCACAGTTGACGCCAGACCCTGTACCTTCTTCCATCTTGGATCCATCTGTATAGAAAGCAATACCGTACAGAGAAGGGTTACTCCGATTCCAGTCGTCTCTACTAGGAATAACGACGTCAAATCTCAGGACTGGTGATATATAGTCGTTACGCGTTGGTCCAATGTCATACCTGGTTCGTTCAAGATACAACCATGCCCAAAGGTACAACATCGCCAAAGTAACCTTAAGCTCAGCATTGCGTTCAGAGCTACTTGTGGGGTGCTCCTCGTGGCTGTGGGGTATCGTTATTTCACCAAGAAATGGACCGCTTTTGACAATTTTTAGCAGAAAGCTTTTGTGATAATCCAAAATAACAAATTGCAACCATTTCGTTTGAAAAACGTGCCTAAACACTCTAAAATATCGACATTTTGGGGGGCACCTTTATATGGGGCTTCCCGAAAAACATGAAGGATACTGATCATTTTTAGTGTGGATATTTTGTACCCAATAAGAAAAAAATTTGCCAAATTAAAGCGAATTCGGCCTCTCAAATGACGGAATTTTGAGGGTCACCATAATATAGTAGGTAATCAGAAACATGGGGGAAATTTTATACTCAATGAGAATCCAAAATATTAAATTGCTTCCAATTGCTTAAAACAAGTCATCAAACTTCCCAAAATACCGATATTTGTGGCGAAAATTAAATAAATTAAAAATATCGAATATTGGGGGCACCATTATAAGAGGCTATAATATTGATACTTTTATAATATTGATACTTTTTCGTAGGTTGAAAAACGTGTCTAAATCCCCATATACCTCCCATATTGGGGCTATACCGTTATATATTGCGATCTGTATCGTGATTTCAACAAACAGACGGACACACATAAACCAACATAGAATTTTATTCTGAAACAATATGCCGTATAGTCGCAGAGAACCATAATGTTATTAGCGGCGGATGGTCTTCCCAACATGAATGGATGGTAAAGGAGCAAAACGCCAATAATTGTCTGTTTTATATTTAATTAAAGTCGTTCGTTCAAAACAAGTTCACAGCCCCATTAGAATTGTCCCATGTCCCCAATTTCCAAAACGACAACACAGCATTCATTATACATGTGTACATACAGATTGTTGAAGAGCACCCTACAATTGCAACACAAAGCCCTATTTTAAAGACACAAAACTCCAAGCGACAAAGAAAATTGAAAACGTTTGAAAATATCATATTGTATGCATCATTTCTTAAATGCCCTGTTTCCTACGCCGGTGTGGGCATGGCATATCGATTTTTTTCTTCAGCCGAAAAGTGAAAAAGTAGAAAATTCCATAATGACCGAAAAAATGGCGACTACTTACGATCCATACTGCGAAAAATGTTACTCCCTTATATAGATGTGCGTTTGTTTTATTTCACTATGCTGAAAATATTTTCTTCTTTTATGTTTATTTATAGTTGTTGTCACACAATTTTATTATTTTATATTGTTATTAGAACGAAAGAAATTAAAAATCCAAATCAATGAACTAGTTACTCCATAAAAAATCTCAAAGTGAAGAACAATAAAAAGGGATTTATAGATGAAGTTTTGCCCAATCGATACATGCTGGTTATCGATTTATTTCAACAATAACAATATGGTGTTATGGCGACATGTTAAATATTTTTATCGATTCGTTATACAATATCTTGAATTCTTGTAAAATGAAGAAGTTTATGCCATGTTCTGACGGGCATTTGAACAACGTTGTTCGCTCTCAAGGGCTAAGCGGAATGCTCGCGTTGAGCCATCCGTCGCGTTATATGTAATCGAAAATACAACAACCACAAGGAAACGATAACACAAACGCATATAGTTTCCTTGTGGTTGTTGTATTTTCGATAACATATAACGCGACGGATGGCTCAACGCGAGCATTCTGCTTATCCCTTCACAATTAAGGGCGAGTAAAAAGTTTACAGAGAGAAAGCCATTTTGTATTGTGCTCTCTTAAATTTGGTACAATGTTTTACCAGTTTTGTGGGTTTCGAGCAAAAAGTTGCAAAAATTGTAAAATTAGTAGATTCTTTTAGGTTCTGAAACGGAACTTATAAGTTGAAATTGGCCTACATTGTAATAATTGTACCATTGTTGCACATTCTTGCAAGTTTTGGAACAGAGCAGTTGTAATCGATTGTTGGTTTCGCCAATTTTTGTGTACGAAAACAATAACAATATTCAAACGATAAGTCAAAAATCGATTTTCAGATCTCTTTACTGAAAATAATGGGGATTTACAGGAATTAATAAAAACATTGGACAATTTTTTCATCAAAGTGCAAAAGTACACATATTTAGCTCCAAAGTATATGCTATGTATATTTTGCAATGTCCAACATCAATGTGAATACGGAAATAGCATCAGGATCTGGTAAAAATGTTACAATTGTTATTAAAAAACCCGTGCCATTATCTATTACAAAAAATGATATGGGCCAACAGTCTCAAACGCGTGCTACAGTTGTTGTCAAGAAGGAGGCAGTACCAACAATTATCAAAAATGAAATCGCCAAGGTGTCATTAGCATCAAATGCTACAGTTATTGTAAAAAAGGAAATGATATCACCAGTTAAGACGGAAATAAAACCGGAACCATCACATATATATCAGCAGCGAAAATGTATGCTTAACGATTACAAGGAATTATTTAGTGTTCTAATGAGATTTCCCGACAAAGAAATACAACAAAAAGTTCTACGTTGTCTAAATGCGAAATATGTAAATAAAGAGACTCAAACGGATCCTGTTGAAATATTAAATACTGCCGATATGCAGACAACAGAAAATGTGACGACAAATGTAAATAGTAATACGAACAACAAAAATACGACAGAATCGACACCAACATCGCCGAATAGTTCTAGACCGCCTACACCGAAAAAACGTAAGCGAAAACGTAAAGTAGCCCTACCACAGGCCAGTAAAGAATCTCGTGTGGCACAACGGACATTGATGGCAAAAATGAATGTACCACAAAAACCGAAAAGACCTATTCAAGAAGATACCACAAGTCCATGCTTTATTAATAATATTCCTGCTAAACGGCCTCGATTAGATTCGGAAAATTCGATTACGTCTTCATTTATCAGTCATATGCTCGAGGATTTGGATGTGGCAATGAAAGAAGAAAAAATGTTTAAAAATATAATTAGAGATTGTTTAATTGCTGATGTACCATTGGAAAATGGTCTACTGTAAGTATTCAATACTAAATTGTAAATCCCCCAATTATATTTTTGAAAACAACAGGTCTTTGTTTGTATTTGTTTTAGACCTATTTATGATAGTATTGTTAAGGACAAATTATCAACACTGAGAATACAAATTTTTATATGGAAAGAATACAAAAAGTTTGATTTAAATGAACTAATAACTGATGATGATGAGGTAAATTAAATTACGATGTACTGTACAGTATTATTATAACCATATTTTTTTTTTTCTTTTTTAACGTAGGACCTATTACAATTGGCCATCAACAGCAATTGTTCACCACTTATTATTGATCTTTTGCTGTCGAATAATTTAAATCCAAATAGTGTTGATTGCCAGAGTAACACTGTTCTACATTTGGCTGTCTTAAATGATATAGATCCCGCCGCAATGGACCATTTAATGTCACGAATCGACTTGAAAATGTTACTGGAACTAAACGATGATGGCTATACATGTCTACAGTTGGCAGTGCGACAAGATTGTTATCTATTGGCAGAAAGTATATTGAACGCATTGGATAAACGGCTGTCCGGAAGTGTTTTCTATAAACGCGACTATAGTATATTAGAAACAAATGAAAATGCTAAGAAAGCGGATTTTAAAAAGTACTATGAAAAAGTTTGCAAAGAACTGGTCGTTGAAGATGATGCTGAAGTAACAAATAATGAAAATATTATTAAAAATCATGATATAAAACAGAAATTATTACAAGTTCCTGATATGCGTGGCGGTTGTACGGCATTATTTTTTGCCATTGAATATCAATTAGGTAAATTAATATGGAAATAGGAGTGAATAGTGCAATTGCACTTCTATTTACCTTCAATCGCTTAAACATCTAGTATATTTTACAATCAAATATGTAACTTGTTTCTTTTTTATTACAGAACATTTAATATATTTCCTACTGGCCCACCTGAGTGATCCGCGTACAGAAAATCTGAGCGGACAAGATTGTAAATCATTTTTCAGTGAATTTGCTAAATCATTAAAACTAAGCTTAGAAATTGATAGTGCAATGGACAAGGTTATAAAAATACTATCTTAGTAAAATGTGTTTATATTTAATATAAAATAAATTAATCTATAATTTTTAGAATACGTTTTATTAAATTAACCCCATGAGATGCTATGATTTAAAATTGTTGATAATTTCTTAAGTTTAATTGGTTTTAACGAAGGCGGTAAGTTTTTCTTTTTTAGGAATTTCTTATTTTGCAAAGTATTTTTTGCCCATGGCAAAACATGCATTAATAGCTGCTGTGACGTGCCTTCACTTACATTTGTCGTTGCAGTATATGGTGGTTTTTCTTTCTTCTCCAAGTTATCGGCTGTAAAATTGAAATTATACCAAATCAAATTTGAATCGCATCCTTTTAAAAATTCAATTTATTTACCCAATAGTTTTAATTCTTCCAATTGTTTTGGTGTATAATGTGATGATTGGCAATATAAATCATAGCGACAACGACCTTTTAAAAAATGATAACAAGGCGTTTTACGAATTTCCTCTTTATAAATTTTACGTGGATCTAAAAAAGAAGAAATGTTTCTGTTCCAACCTTAATCACAAAAATAAATTTATCACCTACCATCAAATTTCCTCAAATATCGTATTTTATTGATTTTATGCGATACAGCATCATTGTGTGTTTTTCGAACATTAACATCATTGGTTATATAGCATTGACAATAGTCACAAAAATAACGTTTACCACCCATTATTATTATTATTCAACACTTCCTAGAAGTTTGTTAAATTTTCTATCGTGCATTTCATCGGGATCATACTGTTCCAATATTTGTTTATTTTTTTTAGGGACACATTGATCGACAATAGTCATCGAGTAATTTCGATAACTATTTTGAACGATAACTTTTCGAACTCGTATTTTCGACAAAAATACCGATATGTTTTGAAAACCTAAAATTTTTATTTGCTTGGAAAGTATTTTAGCACCGTATCTTTTCAATATATTCTTACATGATTTTCCGCACAGTTCCCAGTATTCAAAGGCCATTTTATATGCTGTCGACTGTCTGATCTATGCCAATAATGCTTCGACATCTGAACACGATCAATGGCTACTATAAAGTTTAAAGGCTAAGCAGAATGCTCGCGTTGAGCCATCCGTTGCGTTATGTGTTATCGAAAATACAACAACCACAAGGAAACGATAACACAAACGCTCGAAGTTGTTGTGCGCTGCGCTTCGGAGTTAAATACATTTTAACGCGATAACAAAAAACGCCCAACGCGAACATTCTGTTTAGCCCTTAGGCGCTGGGGCATGATGGAATAATAAGGTGATGTATCACAACAAAAACCTTTGTTTTTGTCTCGATTATCTGTCAAATTTTTCCTTATAACATTTCACATGGTTGGCAACGTTGCCAATACATCAAGTAGAAATTACGCACTGTGACAGTAAATCGAGACATCAGCTGCGCTAAATGGACTACCTAATTATAGTGCCATGCACTGGGGTATTAGAATTAATGCTGCCAACAGCTATCTACATTCGCAACGCATCAGGGAATTGCTTCCGGTATGTAGTACCTGAAAGTAAACAACTCAAATTATCATTGGATGGAGTAGATATTCCCTTTAAAACATCAATGAAATATTTGGGTATATCCTTCAATAATCTGCTAAAGTTCAAAGTTCATATGCGCTCCAGCCTACAAAAGAAAGAGAATTTTAGGATTTTTTTTAACAACAAGCACGTGCCACAGAATACCAAACTATTAATTTATAAAGTGACAATACGATCCATCCTTATATACGGGTTTCCAATCTGTAATATATTTGGTCTGTTCCAGTACTTTTTTAATAGTAAATCTAGTAAAAGGGAAACATTTCAAAATTGCTCTCAGAGTACAAAATAATTTGAAAAGTTCGTGAACGCAAATCTAGTAAATATGCCAAAATTAGATGCCAATACTTCAAAATCAACATAACAGCCAATCAGAAGTAGGCATTCCTGTTTACCAATTTTACTCGGCCAAATTTCTCGAGTAAAAAGTTTACAAAGAGAACGCCATTTTGTTTTGTTCTCTTAATTTGATTCAACTTTTTACCAGTTTTGTGGGTTGAGGAACGGGTTTCGAGTAAAAAGTTGCAAAACATGTAAAATGAGTAGATTCTTTTAGGTTCTGGAACGGAACTATTGTAGTTGTTTGCACCAAATTGCATCAAAACAATAAACAGCTGTTTCACATGCCGTTGTATGTTGCCATATGTTCAAACTTTAACTTATTTTCTTTTAATTACAAAACAGTTTTACAGCGGATTCTTGATATTTCACATTTGTATTATTATAAAGTTTAAATATCAATAAAAAGTAACAATCTTTAATAAAAAATCAATAAATAATAAAAAATATTACAAAATTTAATTATAATGGGGCAGCACATATTAAGAAGTTCCTCATGGAACTATCATGACCTAAGTTCCCCAACTCAAAAACTGATAAAGAAGATGAAGGGAAAAACTAAAGGGAAATTGAAACCAATTTCGATTAATTGAAGATTCATACATGTTCTGGAACAGATCACTGATTAGATAGATTTCCTTGTCAGTAAAATTACTCTTCGGCGAATCTTTGGTACTGATGAGCCATTCATTTTAACAGAAAAAATATCCTCAAATCTGAGCCCACCCCTATTTTTTGTGTTGATAGCATTGGGGTTTCAGCTATCGGCAAGGACCTGGACATTCCCAGACCCCTCATATTGTCGTACCGCCCATTTTTATTATTTCGAAGATTCTAGTCGGATGAGACAGTAATTTATGCCATGTTCTGACGGGCATTCGAACAACGTAGTTCGCTCTCAGAATTGCGTACATGAATTAACCCGTTCATACAACACTATTCTTAATTCATGTCATCAGAGTTTTTTTATTTCAAACATTTTGTTTCTTGTTTTACACCAAAATTGTAACATATTTGCGTGAATCACATATGGATCTAAATAGAAAAAAACCCTATCTCTTTACTTTTAATTCATGTTTTCATTTTTTCTGAAAATATTGTTTTTTTTTTTTTTTTTTCATCGCACGTTCCCACGCCTCACTTTCCCACCCCTGCCGACCGAGGGGGCGACCTCCCCGCGTACACACCATAATAAACATTATGATGGAATATGAGAAGGTATAGAAAACCAGCTACAGAAATCTACTTCAACAGCCAGTTTGTTATTAAGTTGTATTATTCATTTAAAAATATGATTATATTAGATTTTATTAGGTCTATATTCATGCAAAAGTCTACGTTAGAATACACAGAATTGAAATCAATACACATTTTACTAAGTGGATCTCCCATAGAATAATTTGTGCGATGAAAATCTACGTATAATGGTTGATAATATCTACTTGATCGAAAAGGAACATTTATTCTAATGGATGAAATTAGGAAGTCCAGGGTATATTACCGCTTAGTATTTTAATTACTATCATTGTGTTCAACATAATACGTCTACTTTTTAATGTTGGCAATCGAATTAATTTTAACCTGCTAGTGTAAGAAGGCAACACAAAGTCACTATTCCAATGTAAACCTCTCAGCGCAAAAATTAGAAATTGTTTCTGCACTGATTCAATTTTATCGGAATAAATTGTATATTGGGGATCCCATACAACAGAACCATATTCTTTATGGGTCGCACAAGAGATGTAAAAAGTTGTTTTGTAATGTAGGGATCAAGAATTCTTTAGCCCATCGTTTTATAAATCCTAAGACACCGTGGGCGTTTACCATAGAAATAACATGATTATTAAAATTTAATTTTGGATCCATTAAAATACCAAGATCAACAAATGAATCAACAGTTGATAAAACAGTACCATTAATATTGTATTGCCTTGTTAAAGTAGAAGATCTGGAAAAACACATATGCTTACATTTGTTTAGGTTTAAATCCATACAGTTTAATTCGCACCATTGAAAAAGGTTATTTAAATCATTTTGAAGTAAATCAGCTTGCTTCATGGAGTTATGGGTGATAAACAACTTGACATCGTCAGCATACATTAGCAATTTGGAGTGGATTATTGCATTTGGTAAATCATTTATAAATAGAAGAAAGAGGAGTGGACCTAAATGACTTCCTTGGGGAACGCCGGAAGGAACATTAATGGATTTGGAGAGACAATCATCAAACAAAACTACCTGTGATCTATTTCTCAAATAATATATATATATATATATATATATATTTTTATATTTTCTCAACTCAAATGTCACATTTAAAAAATTGGAGAATTTTTGTTTGGGTTTCCCCACTTTTGTTTCTCGTTTTGTCCGTTAATTAGAACCAAGGGGAAAGAAATGCATATTGCAATATGTAGACAACAAAATTTATATCCTTCTGCATATATAAAAACTAGAATTTTGGTTACTTTTGATTCATCATTTTCAATTTTACGGAAAAAGTTTGAAAAATTTACAATTTTTTTCATGCTGTCAAAATTAATTTATTTTCGATAAATTCTCTCAATTGTTAGAGATGGGACAAAATTTTTGGTGATTCAGAGATTGATTCGAATTGAACAACGCAAAAAAGTCGGTGTTCGCTCAGACAATTTTGTATGGGGAACTAAGTAATTACTTCATAATTAAGGGTCGAACAACGAATGAGAGAGCGAACAACGCTCGTCTGTACGTGGTCCGTGGTCTTGGAGTATGAAAAATATGTTTGCTGATTTTTTTAAGTTACTGCATAAAAAATGACCTTAATTGAAGGCTATATTTTAAAACTTCCAACCCTGGATCAATTACTTTCATTCGAAAAAAAACCTAAACCCTTGGCAACTCTTTCACATTGTCGAGAGAGACTGAAAAACATATGTTTGGCTGTGATGTGGAGAGCATTTCGTCTGGTGGCTTGAAGACTTCAAGTGGAACTTTACTTTGGTTTCCAATATCGACATTGTATATAAATGAACATGCAGAAGATTCCAAGTCTTGCTAGAGTCATCAGATTAAGGATATAGTAAAAATAATAAATTATATTTCCTTATTAACGACCCCTTGGATACTTGCGACAAATATTGTGGTTGAAATTCTAGAAGTCACCAATTCAACATCATCATGAAGCTAGTTAGCAAAAATGTGGACAAGGGCCAGGGGTAAGTGACCAGATGGAAATTTCGAAATTTCAATTTAATATTTAATGATTTTCTTTGATTTCAGCACTGTGATCCTAATACCCGAAGAATCCGAAGATATGTGGCATGCATATAATCTCATTGCCGAGGGTGATAGTGTTCGCAGCACAACAATACGTAAAGTCCAAAATGAAACGGCGACAGGTTCCAGCACCAGCAGTCGGGTACGAACCACCTTAACCATTACCGTGGAAACAATCGATTTCGACACACAAGGATGTGTTTTACGTCTGAAAGGACGTAACATTGAAGAGAACCAATACGTTAAAATGGGTGCCTATCACACGCTAGATTTGGAGTTAAATCGTAAATTTGAATTACGTAAACCGGAATGGGATTCGATAGCATTGGAACGTATCGAAATGGCATGTGATCCTACACAATCGGCTGATGTGGCGGCGGTGGTCATGCAAGAGGGTTTAGCTCATGTTTGCCTTATAACACCGAGTATGACATTGGTGCGCAGCAAAATCGAAGTTAATATACCACGGAAACGAAAGGGTAACATACAACAACACGAAAAGGGTCTGAGTAAATTCTACGAAAGTGTTATGCAGGGTATTTTGAGGCATGTCAATTTCGATGTTGTCAAGTGTGTATTGGTAGCCTCGCCGGGCTTTGTAAAAGACCAATTTATGGAATACATGTTCCAACAGGCTGTAAAACTTGATATTAAGTTGTTGCTGGACAACAAAAGTAAATTTATGCTTGTCCATTCCTCGTCTGGTTTTAAACATTCACTGCGAGAGGTAATGCAGGAACCGGCTGTAATGTCAAAAATCTCCGATACAAAGGCGGCAGGAGAAGTCAAAGCGTTGGAACAGTTCTACACCATGTTGCAGTGTGAACCGTCTAAGGCTTTTTACGGCAAGAAACATGTTACGGCAGCCGTTGAGGCCCAAGCTGTTGAAACGCTACTCATTTCGGACAATCTGTTTCGTTGTCAAGATGTCAATTTGCGCAAGGAGTATGTACAGCTGGTCGAAAATGTTCGTGATGCCGGTGGTGATGTGAAAATATTTTCCAGTATGCATATTTCCGGTGAACAATTATCACAATTAACCGGCATAGCTGCAATATTGCGTTTCCCTATGCCTGAACTGGAAGAGGACTCGGATGATGATGCCAATGTTGATTCGGATTCAGACTAAGCAGAGAGTTTTTTGATCATAGAATTAGGACGTTATAGGCAACAATTTATAAGGGAATAAAAATACATACATAAAATTTTTTATAAAGAACTACTATTGTAAAAATGCTCGCTTACAGCGTTTCGAAATAGACATAATTTAGCTATAAATGTGTAACGTAAATTAAAAGTAACAACCGTTCTTGTACTAATTTCAGACTGCAATAAGACTCAAATTTGTTTCAAATATACAGAGAAATAATAATCGTGAATTTACAATAAAATTAAAAGAATAATGCAAGCTAAAGAATGAAAAGAATTTTTAAGGAACGTAGTTTTGTTAATGGTTTTGAATTAATCCAAGCAATAGACTTGATATCAACAGTTAATTTTGTGGTTTGTAAGGATCTGCATATATCATTATTAGTTTATAAATATAATAATTATTTTTAAATATAAATAATTATATATGCAATACTAATATGGTTGAGTAATAACTTCATACTGTTTAAAACGCCAGTGTTTTACTAGGATGTAAAATATGACAGCGCAGTTCTTGTTTGTGGCTTTCTTTCATATTAAGGTAATGGACATCTGGAAACCAAGTTACCCAGATGAATACAATTTGGAATGTTTCTAGAGAATGGAATAGGTTAGGTTGAAGGTTTTGTCCATTGTTTTCATCCCTTGAAGGGAAGATAAGAAAATTAAAGAAGAAGAGGGTAGATAGCTGTGTGTAAATGTAAGAAGGAATTAAGCTTAATTATTGAGCCAAATACAATTTATTGGTCAAATATTATACAGGTAATCCAAGGGGAGCCATGTCAAAATAGGAGGTCTGTAATATGCTCTGGAAAAAAACGAAGTCCAGATTGTGAAAGTTGGTTTAAGAACTTCAACACACTGAAAATATGTGGAACTTTTATGCTGGGGTTGAATCTGAACATGGAATGCCAAATTACTGCCACTTCGGTGGAAAATGATACTAGGACCATCGAAATACTTAGAGGCATATATGTGTTTAACCATCCAGAATGCCAAATTACAACCACTTCGGTTTCGAATGTGTGTTAAGGACCCTCAAAATCCTTTTAATGGACCGATATTGCTATATTTGGTAGGAAGATTTTCCACCGAATAGAAACTCAAGATATTAAATTAGTGTTGAAAACTGACCTGAAATCCTCAAAATATCTAAAATTTGTGAGTCCCGTTATATAGGGCTGAACCGATTTTATTAATTATTGGTATGAAAATTATCTCCCGATGAAAATTATCTCCCGTGGAATTATATTCATAATTTGATTCGGTAGAAAAACTAAATTTTTTAAAATATTATTCAAAACATATCCAGCCTTATTCTGGATGTCAATTCCATGTGAATTTACTCGCTCTTTCCGTTCGCCTTATTCTGAACAACATTTTCCTGTGAATTTTTTCGCATTCTCGCTTTCGCCTTATTCTGAATGAAGTTCGAAAGCGAAAAAATCCGCTTTGGGGAAAAATTATGTATTCTGAATTACAGGGAGTAGGAGATGTGTGAGATGAAATTTTGTGCGAAATTTTTCGCTAATAAATTTAAAGTGAGTTGACTACAAAAACATAAGTAATAACTATTTTTATGAAAAATATTTACACAATACTTATTCTATGACGATTTAGAATATTATAAATGATAGTAAGCAAATATTTAACTGGAAAACATATTGGAAATCCCATTGATAACGATGCATGCTGAACCAAGTATTGCCAAGAAATGTATGAAGGTAATAAGGCATATTTAAGTCGAGTTTGATTTTTGGAGACGAAATACAGACATTTTGGGCGAGGATCTGTCTCTCAAGAAAAAATTTTAAAACCCCAAATTTGCCTGATGAGCCGCTTAACAGTGAAAAATTGAAATACTAATTATGAAAGAACAAAAAAAAATTTTTTTTTTCAAAAGAAAATCTATGTTATGGTTTTAAAAATTTGGGGAGATAAAATATCGGAATTAAATAAAAAGGCACACAACTATGTAGTGAAATAATAAACTGTGAATTAATTAATTAAATCGCAGATTCCTTCCTATTATTCGTTGTGTTTTTGCCATCATAAAAAAAATTTATTTTATTTGTAATCTATTGTAGTTGTTGCAACAATTGCATCAAAACAATGAACAGCTGTTTCACATGCCATATTGTAGGTTGCCATATTTTCAAACTTTAATTTATTTTCTTTTAATTACAAAGCATTTATTATTATATTTCACATTTGTATTGCTATATAGTTTAAATAACAATAAAAATTAACAATTTTTAATAACAAAAATCAATAAATAATATATTGAAAAATGTTACACAATTAAATTAAATGGGGCAACACACATTGCAATATAAAGGCCACACACATTGGATATGGCAACACGAATCTTTTTTTGGAATCCGCATCTCACATTTTTTGCATCTCCCTATTCATTGAGAATAAGGCGAGAATGTGAAAGCGAATTTTTTTTACATGCGAGATATCTCCCTAGCAAATATCCAGAATAAGGCTGATCAATTTCAATTCGAGAATTTCATTTGTAATTCGAAAAGTCAATTTGCAATTCATAACATTTCAGTTGTAATTAAAAAATGTAATTGGTAATTCACAACCTTTCATTTGTATTTTTAAACTTTTCATATAAAATTAAAAAGGATTCCATTTGAAATTAAAAAAAGTCATTTGTAATTGGTATATTTCCATTTAAAATTCGACTAGTTTCATTTGAAAAAAATCACTTTAAAATTCAAAAAATTCAATGGAAGTTTATGAATTTGGAAAGGTGTTCTATGAATTGCAAATGGAATTCTCGGATTGTAAATTATATGTTGTGAGTTACAAATGGAATTCTCGAATTACATTTGATATGTTTTGAATAACATGTGAAAAAGGTGTCCTCCGACAATTTCCCTATAATTATTCCGAGCTGATAGTTTTTACCAAATCACGAAAATGGTTATTCAAATAAACTTGGACAGTTGACAATATATGTCCATAACCAAGCAGGACTTAAGACAAGTAAGTCGTGGACTATAAATTCGCAAACCAACTGTGATGTTGTTCTGTATGATTTACACCACGTCGTTAACATTTGCTGGGTTTAAAGATACTGGGAAATAAACGAGAATGAAATGGCTGATGAGCTTGTTTAGGTCATAGTTGTCCGGTCTGCAGAAATAGAAGTCTGTAAGACCACATATTGCATTTACAAAGTTCGCTTCGCTGTACGAAATTGTAGAGTTAATAACTGGTCATTGCAGAATTAATTTTCTTATCTCCAATTGGGACTACATTAGAATGAGCAAGAGTTAGAAACGATCGAACATCTACTATGAAGATGTCAAATGCTCTGTTTACAGGAGACGCGTATTATTTGGCGCATACGGGATTGATTACTATAACCCACTTCTTCGCAGTAAATCCCGTCAAAATTCATATCGAAATAGCTTTCGAGTTTCCCTTTATAAAGTTAAAAAAGTTTACCACTTTTCGAGTACGGGAACAGACCAACATTTTATTTTCACCATTCCTATCCTTTTTTCTAACCTTCCTTCTCAGATACTCCGGATGAACACAATAGACAAAAGGTTCTGGGATGAAACCACCACATATACGATTAGCGATTGTACATCCCATAACCTAACCTACTTTTTAGTATTATACTATGGGATTTAACAGAAAAGGACACAATTACTCTGTTCCATAACATGCAAGAATCTCTTCTATAAAATGAAATAGTTTTTTATTTAATTTAATATTTACATGTAAGATGCTATATAAGATACTATACATTTGCAACTCTGATATGATGTGTTCTCATCTTACCAAATTGATCTATTGACATGCCACTCATCGTCTGGACTTTGCAACAAGTATCAAAATCGATAACAATTTGTATCGATAAAATGCCATCACCGCATTCCCAACAAAAATAAACAAATAAAACGGCGTGATTTGTTTGTTTGTCGAAACGACAGACGCGGATTTTTTTAATGTAAATATAACAAATAAGAAATATTCACATAAAAACCAATGACAACATTGCAATGCTCCTATTGTTCGCTGAACATCAACGATGACAATTATTTACATTGTTCGGAATGTGGCGGCGATGTACATGTCAAGTGTTTGCGACGTTCCAGACCGGGTGATTTAATGGGTGATGTCTTTTTCGATTTTACATGTGCCAAATGTATGCAAGCCCAATACGATGGACCGTCCACGTCAAGTGAAATCATTACGGGAACGCATGAGAAATATGTGCGGCAGCGTATGCCGTGGCTATTGGTTATAACGTTGACTTTGTATAATCTATCGATCAAATCGAAGGGTTTAAGTCGTCACGGGTATTTCCATTGGAGGACACATATTGTCAATTTTATAGATAAGAATTGGGATTATCTATTTGATCCAACAGTGTGAGTAGAGTGGAGTGTGATATGTTGGTTTCTTTTTTTTAATGATAGATAATTATTATTTGATTTTGTTATTGTAGTAAGAGACGGAAAAAATGGACGGGTTCAATATCGGGAGCATTATCACATAATAGGTGAGTCGGTGATTATTATTTATGATTAAACTTTTAATACAATACATCTTTTTCAGTCCTAAGTATTTTACATCTGGCCAAGCCCTATTTGAAGAAACTGGTTGGTGGAAGCTTACTCTTGACAACAAAACTCCAAAGTACATTTTTAGTATTTGTAAGTAAACAGAAAAGAACGAAACTTTTCTAGTAACAGGGGTTCTACACAATGGACCATCGGGTCTCCAAATGGATTATTCCATCGAAATTTTCAGGAAGAAACTATCAACCTTTATTTAAACCTTATTTTTAGATGAACAACAGTGCTTGGAACGTCAACAAATTCGTAATGATAAACGCCAAAAGGAAGATGATTATGGCAGTGATACATCGAACAATGAACAGGATTCGAAACGTATTAAAAGTGCAGATTCAGAGGATGAATTAATTGCGAAATATACATGCAGTCGGATGATGTAAGTTATTAAATTGAAACAATGAAATAATTCTCATGATTTTTTCTTTAATATTGATATTTGCTCCCCTTCACATTTCTAGGCCATATATGGGTCGCAAGCCGAAAGTTGCCAAACAGCTAGATGTCCTGGAAGATGATCATTTGTTAAATAAAATACCACCGCCAAATAATCTCATGCCACTTGAAGATCCAACAATGCCCCTGAATACCGTTCAATCGAGTTTAATGGATTTCTTAGCTGAAAGTTTGGCCAGTGATGATTTAAATATGTTTAATAGTCTACCAAATATTGCACCCGAACCTTTAGTCGAGTGTGCAGGGAAAAATGATATGATGCCGCTGCTAGAAGCAAGTACAGATAATGCCAACTTTCTTGAAAATATACCAGCCCCAGTTAAATCTCAACCAATGGATTTGAATGGTCATTTATATAATGATTTCAATGCTCAACTATTACTTAATGATAAATTAAATAGTTTCTTTAATAATACACAATTTACGCAACACGAACCGGAGGTCACAAATATTTACAGCGGAAATTCGGCTGGAATGGGATATGGAAAAAATATCAATGTTCCGGCAATTGATTTGCCAATGTGAGTAGGAATATAAACATTTTTCAATTGGAATCCAATTAAAATTTGTATTTTCTTGCAGTCAATCCTCTATTCCCGAAACTACAAGTTTTCAAAATCCACTCCCCATTGAAACATCTAATTTGGATACCGATAATACAAACTCATCTAGTGCGGTAACAAATGTAACATATACTGAACCAATTCAACAAGCACAACCCCAACCGCAACAACAACAACCAGTTCAACAAACATTAAAAACAATACAACAACAAACGGAAGATGAAGAATCGGATAACAATAAGGACGACGACGATGAGGATGATGATGATAATGATGAATTTCAACCACGTATTATACAGGTTACAAATTTCCAACAATTACTAAATGATGGTAATGGAAGTAATAAAACCACATCACACAGTCCCATTAAAATTGGGAAAATTATAAAAGAGGAATTAAAATCGGATACCGAATTAAATGATAATAAAATTGTAAATGAAAAACCTCACGATAGTGATGCTGATGATGAGGATGTAACACATGCAACCCCAGATGATAAATGTAATGATGAAGATATACAAACATTATTAAAAGACTGTAAACCTAGTTTATTTACCAAACAACCAAGACGTCAATGGCCATGGTTGGTGGAAAGACACACGGGAGATTCTGATGAAGAGGAAGAACTGGCTGGTGAGGGTTCAAGTGAAGCACAACAACAAAGTAATGTAGAGTAAGTAGATTAAATTATTTTATGTACCAAACTCTACATAAACAAATTGATCTATATAAAGACCTATGGTCTCTATACAAACCAATTGGTCTATATAAAGACCTGTGGCCTCTATACAGACCAATTGTTCTATATAAAGACATGTGGTTTCTATACAGACTAATTGGTCTATATAAAGATCTGTGGTCTCTATGCAGAACAATTGTCATTTCACCTTCTGTCCTATTCTAATTTTTAATTGTCTATTTCTTAATTACAGTTTAACCCGCATGAGTGAATACGAAGAAAAGGAACTGCTGCGAAAATTACGCCACATATTTTCCCTTGAAGAAAAGTGTAAAATTCGTATACCATCATTTGTGCGGAGATTTTATCGTAAACTATGTATAAGGGAATGGAAAAGGGCTCATGGCAAACCGATATTTAATTTAGATGATTATGTCAATGGTAGACATTTGACGAAGGTGCAAAATGATAAAACACGGCATATAGATCGCTATCAGGTAATTATTAAAATTAAAATAAAACTATTTCCTTTCTATAATTTAAATTCTGTATTTTTTTCGATTACAGTTAATTTCATTATCTTCAAAGGAACAGAAGCGATCATTTCACGCCCGCATTGCTGGTTCCTTTGAATGTGAATTCTTTGAATCTCCCTATACACAAAGGATATTGCATCCGTATATATTTCGTAATAATAAATATTTCCCACCATTTTTAAAGGTAAGGGTAATTTAATATTAAATGATTTTTTAATTAAATTAAATTTTAATTTTGTGATCATTTTTTCAACAGCTTATGTGTGAATTACAATATAAGGTCAATCACAAATATCCATCTCGTGCACCCATAGACTTTTGTTATGTTCGGCCAAATCACATAGCTGCTGTTAATTCATTATTACAAACGGAATTTTGGCCAGGAATTGATAGTAAGTCCCTTCCACTATTATGTTAGGGGGATTTAAAACTAATACCGTATAATTTATTTTTTTAGTGTCCGAATGTTTAAGTTATCCCGATTATAGTGTAGTTGCCCTATATAAGAAACTTGTGGTTGGTTGCGGGTTTCTTGTACCTGACGTGGGTTTCAATGAGGCTTATATATCATTTATGGCGGTGAGGCCCGGCTGGAGGCGCAGCGGCATTGGCACCTTTATGTTATATCATTTAATACAGGTTGGTCCGGTTTTTCCATTTCAAGATTTTTATATATTTAAAAGTTTGTTTTTTATCTTTGATTTCAGACTTGTATGACCAAGGACATAACCCTACATGTATCAGCCACAAATCCTGCCGTTGTACTCTATCAAAAATTTGGTTTTAAAATGGAAGAGGTGGTGCTGAATTTCTACGATAAATACCTACCATTTGAGTCGAAAGATAGTCGACATGCCTTATTTTTAAGATTAATAAGATAGAATAGAAAAAAATAATAATTTGTTTAAAAAACAAACTCCTCCGAGTGTTGGATACTACATTTATTGATCATATTTTTCTAATCCTCGGACTTCTATCTTTCCATTTACTTCCCGCCAATTGTTTTATGCGAAAATCTTTTCCTCTCGTCTCTTTTTCGTCACCACTGTGCCCGGTTTGTGTTGAGCATCGGGATGATTCATTAGCTCCGGTGGACAAACCGATACCGGACTTGCCATTACCACCTGTTTCAAATCATAGAACAGCGCACTATCATCCTTGGTAACAAACGAAATGGCCACACCATTTTTGCCTGCTCTGCCCGTACGACCGATACGATGTGTATAATCTTCGATGGTCTTGGCCATATCGTAATTAATAACCAATGAGACATCCTTAATATCGATACCTCTGCCAGCAACATCGGTGGCCACCAATATATCTTTGCTACCCGATTTCAAAGAAGCCAAAGCATATTCACGCTGCTCCTGACCCTTGCCACCGTGAAGTGTACATGCATTGTAGCCCAATTTTTCCAAACCTTTGGCCAAAACATCGGCACCTTTCTTTTGATTGACGAAAATAATAACCGGTGGATCGACACCCCGCTTGAGAATTTCAATCAATTTCTTGCGTTTGTCGTTTTCGCCCATCATGTAGACAATTTGTTCGGTACGTTCGGTTGGTTTGCCAACAGAACCAATGTACACAGTGGCAGGACGTCTCAAATATGAACGGGCAAGCCGTTCAACTGCGGGTGGCATAGTGGCTGTAAACATCACAGTTTGCCTGAAACGAAAAAAACAAAATTATTTCCACAATTTTTTTTCCATTTTCCCCCTCCTCTCTCTACCCACCTATATTTCTTTTTCGAATAGAAATTCTCCATCAATTTACTTGCATCCTCAGCTTCTTCGGTGTCCGGTTTCAGATTTGTCACCGGCATATATTCCAAAATTTTCTGTACATCCGGTTCGAAACCCATATCAATCATACGATCAGCTTCATCCAATACAATATAGGTACACTGATTCAAGACCAAGTAACGATTTTCCAAAACATCGATAAGACGACCCGGTGTGGCAATGACAATTTCACAGCCCATACGCAAACGAAAACCTTGCTCTTCACGTGACAGACCACCCACAACGACCACCGTTCGTATACCCAAGGGCTGACCAAATTTCACAGTTTCTTCTTCGATTTGTTGGGCCAATTCACGTGTAGGTGCCATAATGATGGCATACGGACCCTGATCGGCATCTTCGAGTCGTTCAATTTTCGGCAACGATTGAATCCATGCCAACAGCGGTATAAGGAAAGCCAATGTTTTACCCGAACCTGTCTCGGCAACACCAATAATATCACGATTTTGTAAGCCAATTGGTATAGCCTGTCTTTGAATGGGCGTTGGCTCTTTATAGCCCACACTGTCAATAATTTCCAAAAGTTCCTTGGGGAAACCGGACTCTTTCCAACTGCGTATCGGATTGGGGATTTTCCCACCTTTTATGGTTATATTGTAATCTTCACGGAAAATACGCCAATCACGTTCAGTCATTTCGTCAATATCCTTTTCGGACCAATGACGATCATCCCATTTTTGTTTTTCTTCCTTACGCTTGACTTTAATGAGGCGGACTTTTTCCTGTTCCTTTTCCGCTTCCGTACGACGTTTTTCCAGCAGATCACCATAAAATTGACTTTGCATACGCTTCTGTTCCTTGATGTCTATACCGGCAACATTACCACGACCATAGAACTGGACATGATGTCTTTCCTTGTAGAGGTTGTTGTAATCAACGGAGGTATCCTCGGCAGCATCCCAATCGAAAACGAATTTACGGTCATTCAGACGCCTTACCCTCCGCTTCTTCTTAACAATGCCCAAATAACGTTCCCGAATGGCTTCCAACTCCTTTTCTTTATCCTTTTGTGACAGATCATCTGCTCGTCGTGATTCACGTTCTCTGTCTCTTTCCTTTTCTCTCTCCCGACCTCCTCGGTCGTTTCTATCCACCCGGCGGGCTGATATACTGAAACTGTTATCAGCTGCACTGCTGGATGAAGGTGCTCCGGAAAATCCAGCCCTACTACCACTGGGTTGGCCTGCTCTCATTGCTGCAACTTCTTCCTGCCGACGTTTTAAAGCCTCGGCGGCTCGTTGTTCTTTGGTCAAGAAGACGGGTTTACTGCGTGCTTCTTCTTCCTTCTTTTTTCTTTCCAACAACTCCTCCAAGGAGAGTGGTTCAACCTTTTTCTGCTTATCTTTCTTTTGTTCTTCTGCAGCCATTTCATCATCTTCGATTATGATTACATCCTTGGATGGTTTATCACCTCCTCTACTCTCATCGCGTCTCTTGTCATGGCTTCGCGAGGACTCGTAATCCCTTTGGCGTTCACGGGATTTTGATCGGTCACGATTTCGTTCGCGATTTGATGACCGCTCAGGAGATCTACCGCCACCGCCGGCACCTCCTCTGCCACTGGTATAACGTTCCTTAGAACGAGATCTGGAATGACGTGCCGTTCTCCGATCACCGCCACCACGAGAATCCCGCTGACGTTCACGTTCCCTGTCACGAGAACGGTCTCGTTCGCGTGAACGATCCCGATCACGCGAACGTTCTCTTTCGCGTGAACGGGAACGATGTTTTCTATCACCGCCACCCATTGAAATTTTTGTTTAAATTGTTTTTTTCCCGAGGAAAAACAATTGGATATGGAAAATGTAAACTTTTGCTTTGCAAGTAAAGTGCAGCGACTGCTCTGCTTCGACAAACGTTTTTAGTACAAGCAATTTGTTTTGTTTAGAACAACTATCGGATTGTTGTTATCGATAATAAAATAAACATCAGTGATGTGGAGACACTACAATTTGTGTTAAAGGTGAGTACACACTTTAATTGCGTGATTATCTTTATTGTAATTTTTAACCCTTTTTTGTAAACATGTAAATCAATATTTTAGATCTATGTTTGAAGCTCAGCATAATGAGATGCAACGTAGCTTTTGTAAGAAAAAATACATCTCCCTCACAAAGAACCAACATTTGCAAGAGCAAAAGATGAAAAGACAAATAATTTGTTTTAAAGTATTTTTGTGTTCATGAGGGATTTTTACTCACTATACGATCAAAACATTGCAGGAACATATCATTTTTTCTTTCCACTTTCAAATATCAATTGCGTAAATTTATAATTTAATTTGTTTACAAAAAACAGTCAGCTAATTTTTATTTAGATCATGATGAAGGGCATGTGTGAACAAGAATGTAGAAGCACATATGACACTGGAAGGGTCATTTATTTTTGCATGGTAAATAACGTAGCAGTGTACCGGTTTTAGGAATTAAATGATGCAACAGCCCTATATCATGTTTTCCCATGTACTTTAAGAATATATTTCTAGATTTCGTTAATCGAGTGGTGAGTCTATTTTCGATTTTATTCAATCCTATAATTTTCGTATATGTAATAGGGTAGCTATAGGACCTTTAAATTAGGGATAGAGAGGAGATCATTGACTGATCCCTCTCAAATCTAGATGACGTTCTTTTTCAGATCATTAGAAGATTTTCTTCGAGGTCTCTTTTGACGGAGCTAGACAAAAGCCTTATAGAAATCCGAGGAGAGCAAACTGGGAAAAATACACGGATCTAACGAATTCCCAGATGACTCTTAATACAAACGTAGAAACAGCTGTGGAACTCAATGGAGCCGTGAACAATCTGACGGGCGTCATTCTCCGCTAGGTTTCGAAGATTACTATCCAAGGATCCGAAATCTGTCGGGAGTATCAAGGAACAAGATGGAGCGTAACTTTGGTTCTGAAACTCTTAGTCTTCTAGCTGAGAACCATTTCTCAGGTTGCAAAGATGTGGATACCATCAACAGTAAATGTGATGACACTCAGCCTCTCGCGACTCTAGGTTTGGATCTCATTGCAAGGTTTTTAACAGAAATAAGATACGCTTGGCAGTCAATACATTCAAAACATACAAATCGCCAGGACCAGATAAAATCAAACCTGGCATGCTTCAATTTTCCTCGTAGAGTATATATCTGATCCTATACAGACGGATCCAAAATGAAAGAAGGTGCAGGGGCTGACGTCTACTGTGAAAGGCTAGGCCTTGAGCTTACCTACAATCTGGATAGCAACAGTAGTGTTTTCCATGCTGAAATCTTTGCGATTTGGAAGGCAGCAGAGTTATGCAGATATCTTTGAGCCAGTGACTATATTTGTGGATAGTCAAGCCGCTCATAAAGCCATCAAATCTGACGCCGTCCTCAAGTGTAGAACAGTTTTGGAAGAACTTACTTACAGCTATCGGCTGAGTTCGGTACCAGGACACCGTGATATCATGCGTAATGAAAGACCAGACGAATTAGCTAGACGAGGATCTCAATCTACAGATCTAGCGATTGATATCTTAGTCAAACCACCCATATGCCATCTTTATCGGAACTAGATGCAATGTCCACCAAAAGGACGCACTGACTGTTGAACCTGAGCAAAGCTGAAATAAGAGTAATGACAGGAATCATTACTGGTCATTGCAATATCAGGGCCTTTAGTAGTAAATGGTACCATGATGTTACTGATTACTGTACACTCTGCTTTGACGAGGATGAGACGGAGGCAATTAAGCATCTCCTGTGTCGCTGTCCAGTCCTGGCCTACACACGGCACAGACTAGTGTGTGCTCACTTTCCACCGAGTCTTAGTTTCTTCTCAACGACGGAATCTGCTCTAATCTACAGCATCATTAGAATCCTAAATTGGTTAAGAAAGTAAAACCTTGGCACGTAATATATTTTCTGTTCGATCTATATAGCCATCGATACTATATCATACTTACCTTCTCATACTTTCTTTTAAGCTCGCATCTCTCTCAATCCCCCTTCTTTTCTCTCCCCATATATTTTTCTTTTCGTGGATGATCACAATGGACCTGACGATCTCAGAGTGCTGCAGCCACATTAGTAACCCCCAAAACTAACCAAGTTTGACAGATGCCAAATTCCAGTTCCATACTTTTGAATCCATCTGCCGTTTAACTTTTTTCGTCCAGATAGATCCCAAAATCCTTTAAAGCTTTGCTAAAAACTGAAACGGCATATACATTACAACTTTTTAGTGGGTTAACCTACTCTATGAGGATTTATTTGACATATATTCAAAGGAATTGACAATTGAAACCCACGATATTTGGTTAAATGTAAACGTATTATTATGAATAAAATTGGAATTATATGCCTGCATGAGACTACCTTGTGTAATTATGCCATGTAATTATAAGTTCTTTTTTCATATTCGAAATTATTATTTCGATTATAAAAGTACTGGAGTTTTCAATAAACAATGCTTTAAAGAAAATAGCTGTGCTAACGGATAGTCTCAGTGACATTTTGACGGTTAAAGGGCTAAGCAGAATGCTCGCGTTGAGCCATCCGTTGCGTTATGTGTTATCGAAAATACAACAACCACAATGAAACGATAACACAAACGCTCGAAGTTGTTGTGCGCTGCGCTTCGGAGTTAAATATATTTTAACTTTTTGCGTGCGTTAACGCGATAAGAAAAAACGCTCAACGCGAACATTCTGTTTCGCCCTTAAGGGCTAAGCAGAATGCTCGCGTTTATCGAAAATACAACAACCACAAGGAAACGATAACTTTTTGCGTGCGTTAACGCGATAACAACAAACGCTCAACGCGAACATTCTGTTTAGCCCTTTAAGAATGGTGGGAAGGGGAATTCACTGGTGGAAGAGCTAGTTGAGCTGGCGAAGCAAATAGATGGTGAAATTGAGCTACATTACATTCAATGGCATTCAAATATTTTTATTAAAGAAGCAGCAGATCAAGCAGCCAAACGATCTTTATAACGTTGAGGAAACCGCAGATCACATAATTTTTGAATGCCGAAAATATGAGTCCATCAGCAGCTCTATTAACGAGCGCAGTAGAGCAAGATCAATGGATGATTTCATCACCTGTTGGCTTCGGAAAATTCTGATAATTAATTCATTTTTGGATAAATTTCATGTAAACCTTTAGGCCTTTTCCATGTCCTGGGGGATAGATTGCTCACACTAGCAGTCATTAAAGCACAAATAATATATGCAATGTGTTGCTTATACCCCTAATATGCATTAAACAACGCCGTCGCATTTTTCAAAATAAGCCGTCAACCAAGAACTGACAACACATGTCGCCGTCAAATCCAATCATTAACATTGATGTCTGACGGCCCCACAACAAACTCCGCCATCAAAATAAGCAAATCCAGTTTTGTTTTATTCTTATTGGATCTCACATATGTGACGGAACGTCAGTTTTTTTGTGCGAAAAGAAATAAACAAACGGATGACGCATTGACTAAAAAAACACAAGAAAAAAGAAAATAGCTAAACAATTTCAAACCGTGGAAAATAGAACAATTTTTTGCTAAGTGAAGACACGCGAATATAGTGACAATGAGAAAATAGTGGAATAGTGAAAATAATTGCCTAAGGCAGCAGCAGCAGCGCTTTCTCTTGCTTCAAAACGACGAAAATTACATGCCAAATTAAAATTTTGTTGTTACTGTGCATTGCAAATTTTTACTAACTAAACCAGCAGCTGTTTGTAGTTGTTGTCTTCTTCATCGAGTGGTGTTTGTGAATTATTAATCAGCCAACCAGCCAGTCGAATAAAAAGAATTAAACCAAAAAGAAACAGCATCATTTGCTGGTATCCAAAATACAACAACCACACCATACACAAAAAAGTAGCGGTGGCGGCGACGTCGTTAGCAGCAGCGGCGATACTGTTGTCGTCATCTCCACATAAAAGCTATTGTAGTTTTTTGTTGATGATTATAAATTTGCATTAGTGGGCGTCTTGTTTTCTTTATTTGTTTAATAAGGGAAAAAGCCAAGCCAGCGATACTTGTAACTACTTCGATCTAGTTCAGTGTTTTGAGATCCAACAGCTGTCTGGTGTTGGTGGCCTTTGTTTTGTGCATGGTGTTGTAAAAAATAAAAGCCGAACAATGAATTCACAGACTAGTATTAATGGTGATCCAGAAACGGCACCAATTGCTGCTCCGCGTACCGCTGGCAGGGCATCATCGATGATGCGTTCATTTGGAACACTTTTCGGTTCAAATAACAGTGTGGAGAGGAGGCCGCCGTCACAGAATGCCAACGAAAATGGCTATGTTGAATTCGGAATGCAAGATCCTGACCGTAGCGGTCGAACATTGGGTACATTTGCGGGCGTCTTTAGTCCTGTGGCATTATCCATGTTTAGTGCTTTGGTATTTATTCGTGTTGGTAAGTTCCATTTTTTTCAAATAATATTTGAAAACAATTTTTATAAATTTTTAATGATCGTTACTCTTTTATTTGTTTTGTTGTTGTCGTCGTTCTATTTTCGCAGCTAATGAGGTTATTGGTTGGTGGTGTTAGTCATTCCAATTCATTGATTGATGACACTGTGTTGGGCATTAGGCGATTATGTACATAATGAAGGTATACTACGCTGTTGAAATAACTTTGGTCGTCGTCGTCGTCAAATGTAATGTGTTAAGTCCATGTCGTCGGTTCTTTAGTTGTTACCTATGACTTGGTTATGTTATTTTGGAAATATGATAAATTTCGGTCATTATATCACATTTGATATCTAAATAGGACAACTCTGTATTTATGTGACTTGGTTGGTCGATCTCAGTACAAGTCTAGGTTATTTTGAAAAGTATCGAAAAAGCATGTCGTCAATTATGTCAAACTCATACACATAAATAATTAATGCATTGAAGTATCTTTTATGTTTCAAGTTACTCTGCTTGAAAACCTTAAGGCAATATTGGCAATATAGTTCTAATGTAAGATTTTTCGATATTTCCACCGCATTCAACTAAGCTGGATGCTGACATTTTGAAGCCGAAATTTCCGTTTTCGAGGCCATTGACATTACACCTTCAAACTTTTTATGATGTTGGTAATTTTGGTGTGCTTGTAGCTCTTGATTTGTCAAAGACTTTCGACAAGGTAGATTACATATCGGTAATTGAGAAGTTGAAAATAATTTTCTGTTTGATAGATCTGCATGTAAGTTAATATATTTATACCTTTCTGATCGTTCACAGTTTGTTTCTTTAAAGGGAGTTTCTTCTAGCCAACGGGATATAAATACGGGTATTCCGCAAGGCTCCGTATTGGGCCCTTTTTTATACTGTACATAAATGATATAGCAATATTCTACACAACGATTACACTGTTTGACGGATTTTGAGACTATTCAAAAAAAATCAACAGACTCACAGAACATTTTGCCGAAAGATGTAAAATGTCCCAATACCCACATATTAAATTGTACAAATATCCATATTATACGCAATAAAGAAATTGTAATTATTAAATTCTTAATAATTCAAAATATGGAGTATTTCAGAGGACAATTCTTGAACAAACAATTTGCGAGAATTTTGCGTTTGAATTCAAATGACCAATACTAGCAACACAGTAAAACGTATTTCTCAATAAAACGATTTCATTTAAAATGAAATTAGTTTTTAGTATTAGTTTTGAAACAAAACTAATACTAAAAACTAATTTAATTTAATTAAAACATTACCCAAGCTTCATAACAGAAGGCATCAACTGGATTATCTCAAGGGACGAGGTCACATCTAACCGAACGGAACATTCTTGTATGAATAGGAAAATTAGACGACGTTCCTTTGTGATTTTAATTTTAAATAAAATTCCAATTCAACCCCATCCAGAACTGATATAGAGAAATTGTAATATCTACCCTTGCTGATGGATTTACACCAATTGGACCGAATTTACAGTTATCAAGTGTATCTGTACTTATCAGGTGAATCTATACTTATCAGGTGCATCTGTACTTATCCAGTGCATCTGTATTTACAAAATACATCTGAACTTTCTAAAAGCGTCTCTGTTGACACCTTTCCTTGCAGAACTGTCTCAAATGCTTAAATTAATAGAACTCACAAAATTTTAAATAGAGCATTGACATTTTGCACATACATATATACATTGCGAACACTCGTAGGATGAAAAAGGGTATAGGTCCATGTTTTGAAATATCTCTGATATAAATATCCCTTGCTAATTTACGTATTTTTCTTTTTTTGATTGTCCGAGTCGAATGGTATGGCAATTTGAAAATCCGTGATCTTGGAGAGTCAAGAACTTCTTCACAGAAAATTTTGTAATGTAGGTCCATGTTTTGACATAATTCCACATAATTGCGTATTTTGAAGGTATTTGTTATACCCTTCACCACACTTTGGTACAGGGTATTATGTCTTTGTGTACATGTTTATATCAGGCAAAGAGAAACGAGATAGACCCATGGTTCCTTTTGAGAATATGCATACAATCACTTTTTAAGTCGATTTATGCATGTCCATCCGTCCGTCGGTCTTTCCATGTTAAATTGTAAACAAAGTACAAGTCGCATTTATGATTCGAATTGGATGAAATTTGGCACAGCTCATTTATTTGGCCATGGACGAACCCTATTGAAATTGGGAAAAATCGGTTCAGATTTAGATAAAGCCCCCATATATAGTTTTGTCCGATTTAACCCTTTCAGTGTTTTTGCCGAATATATTCGACATTTAAAATGACTCTCTTTCCTTGCGATTTTTCGGTTATCCTATGTACCGTTACAATTGATGTTTTTGTTTTTGCTTAAAGACAGACAAAACTATCCGAGGGTTAAAATACAAATTGCCTTTTTTACTAAACTCTGTGCCTTTATATCTTTCGATTTGCACGAAATTCTGGACAGCGTACTGAATGAAATCTAGAATGATGTGTGCTAAGTTTCGTAAAAATCGGTTCAGATTTAGATATAGCTCCCATATATATTTCCGTCCGATTTATTGTAAATAGTACAACAAAGTCCCTTTATATCCTTCGATTTGCATTAAACTTGACATAGCGTACTGTATATGACTTCTATAGATTTTAGGACTTTTTGTAGGAAATTTTTCGTGTATTGTGCTCATATGAGAACGCAGTTTATTAAAAGGCTTTACTTGTCTTTTCTGGAATTCTATTGTTAAAAAATTGTCTTCTATATAAGACGATCTTCAATATATGTTGTATATCCGAAAAAATAATAATTTTATATCAGTTTTTCAAATGACCTTACAATAATATTTATATTGTGATAACTATTATATAAATTATACTTTCATGCTTTATTAAAGAATTAAAATCGTTATCAATATTATTTCAACTCAAGCTTATAATCTTATTTTTTTATTTTAGGTTTTATTGTGGGCAATGCCGGTCTATATGTAACACTTTTGCAATTTGTAATCGCCTACATTATATTACTATTCACAGTAGCTTCCGTATGCGCAATTTCCACCAATGGTGCGATCGAGGGCGGAGGTGTATATTGTAAGTTATTACTATCACGAATCCAATCGTATAGGCTTTAATAATTTTAAAATATTTGTTTTTGTATTTCTTATAGTTATGATAAGTCGTACATTGGGTCTTGAATTTGGTGGCTCTATTGGCACCCTATTCTTTTTGGCCAATGTGGTTGGTAGTGCTATGGCCATATCGGGTTGTGTTGAAGGTATTATGAATAACTTTGGGCCCGGTGGTTATTTCTCCGGTGAAGCAGGTTTTTTACCCGATGGCTCATGGTGGCGTTTCCTATTTTGTACTTTAATAAATACCTTAATGCTGCTGGTATGCCTTATCGGAGCTTCACTGTTTGCCAAAACCTCGGTATTAATTTTGGGCATTGTGACAGTGTGTTTGTTGGCCACCTACATAAGCTTTTTGGCTGAAGGTCCAAAACTGGTAAGTGATTTAATTTGTATTAAGTACAGATTTTATTTTTAGTTTTATTTTTCTTATTATGTTTTTATAGAAGCACGAGAAACCCAAAAGAAATAAATAATAACAAATAAAATGTGATTTTTTTGTGGTATAAAAATTAGCATTTACTTTTTTACCACTTTGTTATCACATTTGGCTGTAGTAGCATTTGTTTTGTGTTTGTCCATCATCATTAATACCCGGCAGCTTATCGCCAATAATTGTATATGAAAAGTTTTGCTTTGAACAGTTTTTTTATTTGTCTGTTACTCAAAAACAAAGATTTATATGTGTGTTACCTATTAACACATTTTGGTTATGATATATTACAATTGATTTTGTTAGTCATCATTTATCGTATTTTATCGTTTATTGTAATTTTACAATTTTTATTTCTTTATTTTTTTTTTGGGTCATGTTATCATTTTGTTGTAAAGCCCAATCGGGACTTTTTTAAACTAGATATAGAATATTAATAATGCATTTTAAAATGAATAATGATGTCACAATTTTTGGTTCTATCTAACAACACACACTATCATTTAATCCTTTCAAAAAATATTTTGTTTTGGAAAGGTATTTTTTCTTAGTCAATACCGAAAAAAGTGGAAGTAATTTGTTATGTATTTAAATGTTATTAACATGTCGAGGAAATATTCTCTAGATATTTCGAGGAAATATTCTCTAGATATTGAATATAGTGTGAATCAACTGTGGTATTCAAATAGTTTACATACTTCCTGAATTAAGAAGTAGTAATCGCACAATCGGAAGTACTGATAACAATGTGACACAAAATGGAGCTCATGGTTTGGGGTGTGGAAAATTCCTTATGGGGATGAAAATAATTGACGAGTTCATTATAAGAACACAGAAGGAAGAATTTGCCATGGGTCCAGTTGTTGACCTCTAAAGTTCATGAGGTCAAAGCTTTATAACTTTGTTTGCGGCTATTGCAGGTTACTTTTGACATGTCATGTCTTCAGTCAAATCGAATGAGGAATATTTTTGTAAAACATATTCTCCTTTCTGTCCTTATGTTATTGAATGGTAAACTTAGACATTTCTGATCTCCTCATACTGATATTAAATATGGTGGCAAAAACAAGAATTCGATATTCATATTTTTTCATCGTTCCTTTCTAATTTTACCCGAAATTTCGTATAATTTGTACATTAAGGGAAAATACATAGATAGGATCTACGATCCGAAAAAAACCCTTGTCTCACTCTGCCAACGTCCGTCTAACCGCAACCGACGGATTAAATGCACTTTGGACATTTTGGACCACCACAATAACTGGACACGTTTTTGGGGTATATCATAATATGGATCTATATTGGTTTTTGTTTTTTTTTTTGCGATTGACTGACAATCAATGAATTTCGCTGATGTGCACATCGGGATCAGCTTTGCCAATAATTCCCACTCGTCGGTCTTGGTGAGACCCATACTCTCGGGTTGATAAGACCCATACGTCGTAATAGAAGGTTTGATATTCGATCACCCTGATTTACATTCGGATTTGCCCCACGACTGTTTTAATATCATAACCGTGGTTCTGGATTTTGCAGTGGATCGGGTGCAGTGGTTTGTTACTCGAAAGTGTGTTGCGACACAGTCGCCTTTTGGACGATCTTGATACTTCCCTATGTTTGATGGTGCCAAGGATTTCTCGCATTTAGAAACAAATTCGAAATTGGTATACTCTGATCCCCTCGAGTAGGGGTTATTTTAAACAACTTTTGTACCCGAAGTTGGAATTATTTTTTTTCAGAAGTATTTTACAGCGCTATTCGGGTAGTTGCTTGTAAATTTCTGAATGAACTCCAAATTATTCTTGCATATAAAAAAATCCTTGTCCAGTTATGGTATTTATGTCCCGTTCGATAAAACGCTTGCAGTAATTTATCTTCTTTTCGGATGTTTTCATTGTCTTGGCACAGTTCCTTTTGAGAATATGCATAGAATCACTTTCTAAGTCGTTTATGCATGTCCGCCCGTCTGTCTGTCCATGTTAAATTGTAAACAAAGTACAGGTCGCATTTATGATTGGAATTGGAGGAAATTTGGCACAGTTTATTTATTTGGTCCAAGGACGAACTCTATTGAAATTGAGAAAAATCGATTCAGATTTTGATATAGTTTTCATATATATTTTCGTCCGATTTTAGGTAAATGGTGCACCAATGTCCCTATATATCTTTCGGTTTGCACGAAATTTGGCATAGAGTACAAAATTGAGGCTAGAATGATGTGCGTAAAGTTTCCTGAAAATCAGTTAAGATTTAGATATAGCTCCCATATATATTTTCCTCCGATTTAATGTAAGGGGTGTACCAAAGTCCTTATATATATTTTAATTTGCATGAAATTTTGGCACGTGCTGAATTTAGTCTAAAATTATGTGTGTAAGGTTTCGTGAAAATTGGAGGTTTAGATATAGCTCCAATGTCAAATACAAATTACGTTTCCTCGCAGTTTTTCTTTAGCAATAAACATATGTTTTTAATTAGTGGAGATGCCATCTTTTTCACAAATTATGTCAAATATGCATGTAAAAAAATGGCAGAGTATTTTTCAATTATTATGCAATTAACAGGTGAAATGTAAAAGGAAATTTATTTTTGAACCAATTTGACAAAGCCTATGATCTAATTGGGGTCTATTTTGGGGAAAAAAGTTAAATTCTCAATTTCATATCTTTCAAACTGTTTGTGTCTTCTGCCTCTCAGCGATGGACATCTACAGAGGATATGTTTAATGGTTTCTAGCTCCTCTTCGTCCTCACATAGACGACAGTGATCCTCTCCGTTGGAGTCCCATTTCGAAGTGAGAGATCTAATCTTGTAGTGATGATCCCCACAATGATTTTGATCTCTCTCTTATTATGTGACAACTGTGAACAAGTTCTTCGGCGAGGCTTCCCTTAGACCCGCTAACTGTTCAAGAGTTCTCATTTAATTCGTAGCGAACTCTCTTTCTACTTGGTTTCCCACTATCCGCAACCTGTGGACGCATCCTATAGCAGTCAAATATTAATTTTATTTCTCTTTCTTTATTTTAGGTTCCTACACCCGATGAAAATACCCTATTACCGAATACAACACAATTAATCTACACTGGCCTAAATACCACAACGCTAACCAATAATTTAGGCGAAAGTTATACCCAGGATTATACATCGAAAGGAAAAATGGTTGATTTTGCAACAACATTTGGTGTATTGTTTGCTGGTGTTACGGGTATTATGGCTGGAGCTAATATGTCTGGAGAACTGAAAAGTCCATCGAAAAGTATTCCCTTGGGAACATTATCGGCCGTTGCATTTACCTTCGTTTCCTATGTTATATTATCGTTCTTGATGGCCTTCACGACACCTCACGAAACAATGCAAAATAATTATCTTTTCCTGTTATACGTGAACTTTTGGCCACCATTTACCGCAATTGGTATATTGACAGCGACATTTTCGACGGGTTTGAGTAATTTAATCGGTTCCAGTCGTATTTTGGAGGCGTTGTCCAAAGATCAGGTGTTTGGTTCATTTTTAAATTTCATTCTAAAGGGTACATGGAAAGGAAATCCCATTGCTGCGGTTGTTTCCAGTTGGGTATTGGTGGAATGTATTCTGTTGATTGGTTCATTGAATACGATTGCCCAAATTAATTCGGTGTTGTTTATGTTGTCATATTTGGCCACAAATTTGGCTTGCTTGGGTATTGAGTTGACGGGAGCACCCAATTTCCGGCCATTGTTTAAGTACTTCTCTTGGCACACCTGTCTGTTTGGTTTGATCGGAACACTGGTGATGATGTTTGTCATCAATCCCATTTATGCTTCATCAAGTATTATTTTGTGTTTATTGTTGGTTATTGCCCTGCATCTGTTTTCGCCAGCTACACAGTCGGCACAATGGGGTTCCATTTCACAGGCTCTTATGTTCCATCAGGTGAGAGAAGTCAATAATTTCTAGATGGAATATATTTTTTAATAATGAGTTCTTTACTTTTCAGGTCCGTAAATATTTGCTTATGTTGGATCCACGTAAAGATCATGTAAAATTCTGGCGTCCCCAAATGTTATTGTTGGTTTCCTCACCACGTTCCTGTTGTCCTTTGGTTGACTTTGTCAATGATATGAAAAAGAGTGGTCTGTACATTATTGGACACGTACGTGTGGGCAGCCACACCGAAATTGATGATGAAACTTTGGAGGATAATAAACAGTGGTTATCTTTTGTCGATCACATGCGTGTTAAGGCATTTGCCGAAACTACGTTGGCCAAATCGGTGCGTGAAGGTGTACAACATTTGATACGTCTATCGGGTATTGGTGCAATGAAACCAAATACCATTGTTTTGGGATTCTATGATAACGAAGCACCCAAAGATTTCTTCCAAACGTAAGTGTGTCATATTTGGTATCCATTAAAAATTGGTATTTAATTAGTCTTATTTTTTTGCACAGTTCAACCTCGCCCTATAAAACAGATGGCTTTAATACGGGTGAAATGCAAAATTTCCCCATTCGACGTGATGGCGAGGAGAAACACATTGATGTTACCGAATATGTAGAGATTATCAGTGATATTTTGCGCATGAAGAAGAATTTATGTTTGTGCCGACATTTCCATCGTTTGGATAAACATTTTATATCAAAGTAAGGAGAAATAGACTCTTTACTCTCTTCAGTTCGTGATTAATTTTATTATCTTTATAGGAGCAAACATGTAAAATATATTGATGTATGGCCGATAAATGTTTTCGATCCTAAAACTGAAAATCCTTTCGATGTTGTCTCTCTGTTCATGATGCAATTGGCTGTAATTATGTTGGCTAAATGGAAACATTTGACATTACGTGTATTCTTGTGTGAAACCAATGACACAAATTCCACAGCACAATTTGATACTCATGATCCTAATATGCCACAAATGGAAATATTCTCACGCATGAAATTGGAACAATCACTTAAATCGCTGAGAATTAATGCCCAAATTATGGAGGTATATTGAGCGCAGCATTAATGTGCAATAATTTGTATACTAATAGTCTATATATTTTTGTTGTTGTTTATTTATAGATTCAAGAATGGGCACGTGATACGGAATTTACTCGCCACTCGCGTATCTTGAAACAATTTACACAATCAGCTGAAGTCACCGGAGAAAGTGTTACGGAAGATAATATCAATCGTTCGTTGTTGTATATGCAAAGGTAAGAAAGATGATTTTTAATCATTTGTGGAATATTTTCATACCATTAAAAAATTAAAAAGAAGAAACATAATGAGTAACACGGAAAATGGTTCTAATAACAAAGTACTCAAAAGAGAAGCCCTGATTATTTTGATAACAAAATAATGAAATATGAGCACTGTTCTACTTTCATTGGTTTTTAGATCAAGAGGTAATGATTAATAGAAACAGTTCCCGGTCATTAATATTACGAGAGTTAAAAGTCTTGGACCGTCATAAGACTAACATAAGCGAGAGCAATTGCAAAAGATGTTTTCAATAACTTTAGAAGTTCGAAGACGATCAGATACTGCTCTAGTTCTAACCATAAACGATGCCAGCTAGCAATAAAGTGTAGCTGCTTTTATGACTGTCTCAGTCGGTGTATTCGCCGAGAGCAATTCAGATTAATCTCTACCAATCGCAAGGCAGCTGGTTAACTCAATAATGATTAATAGAAGCAGTTTGGTGGCATTAGTGTTACAACGACGAGAGGAGACATTATTGTACCATCGTAGTACATACTTAGGCGAAAGCATTTGGCAAAGGCGATCAGATATTGTCATAGTTCGAACTTAAACGATGCCAATTATGAATTGGGCGTAGCTACTTTTATATCTCTCAATCACTTCCTGGAAATCCAAAGATTTTGGGCTTGGGGGAAGCATGGATGCTAGGCTAAAACTTAAAGAAATTGATTTTACTTACTTACTTACTTAGCTGGCTTGTGACAGAACTTTCGTTCCATAAGCCGAGCTTAAAAAAATTTTCCAGGCGCGTCGGTCTTGTGCGCATCTCTTCCAATTTGAAAGATCATATTCGGCAATGTTGTCTTCCACTTGATTTTTCCATCTTATTCGTGGCCTTCCCCTTCTGCGTGAACCAGCAGCTGGTTCGCTTTTATATGCCTTTTGGGCTGGGGCATCTTCATCCATTCTCACAACATGACCTAGCCAACGTAGTCGCTGCAGCTCAGTACGTCTAACAATGCCGATGTCCGAGAATAACTGGTATAACTCATGGTTCATTCGACGGCGATATTCACCGTCAACTCAGATCGGCCCATAGATCTTTTGGAGATTTTTTTTCTCTGAAACACTCCAAGAGCTGCCTCATCTGCTTGCGTAAGTACCCATGCTTCTGATCCATATAACAGTACGGGTAGTATCAGCGTCTTGTAGAGTGTGAGTTTGGTCTGGCGGGAGGTGGCCTTGCTTTTGAGTTGCTTACTCAGACCATAGTAGCATCTGTTGGCCAACACTTCTTCGAATTTTAAAACCGATGTCATTAGTTTTATTTATGGCGGTACCAAGGTATGTAAATCTTTGACTGCCTCGAAGCTGTAGTTATCAAGTTCCACAGTTGGTCCTACTGGACGTCTTGCGCGTTGATACCATCTGCTTGGTCACAAGATCACAAGACAAACTGTCGCCTTGTCTGAATCCTCGTTCGGCATTAAAGGGCTCCGAGAGGTCCATTTCGACTTTAACTGCTGATCTTGTGCCAGTTATAGTTATCCTGGTGTAGCTTTTGCTGCAGTTTGTAGTGAGTGGGCAATTCTATGCTATTAACGGGTCAAGAAGTGCTTTCGTCAAGCTATATGTTGGGTTTGCAGCTTTTTCGACCTTTGCTGCTACATTAAGATGGGTGCGTACATTGGCAGCCACAAGGTAATGGTCCGAATCGATATTCGCTCCTCGGATCGATCGGACGTCTAAAACACTGGATGAAGGCCTTCCGTCTATCACAACATGATCGATTTGATTTTTCCTTGTTCGATCGGGAGAAATCCAAGTGGCCTTGTGTATATCAAGCATCTCGGCGCTACTAACCACCATCAACCTCATGTCGTTGTCGGATGTTTCCTCATGGAGGCAGTGGGACCAAAAATATTTTCCCTTCCGATTTTTGCATTAAAATCTCTCCTAGAAATCTCCTAGCAGAATTTTAATGTCATGACCATTGCAGCCCTGAAATTTCTTAGCGCTCGTAAAATATGTCTTTGATCCGTTCATCTTTGTCTTATGGGCGCAAATCGAACTGACGTAGAAGAACTTCGCTTTTATACGGATTATAGCAATTCGTTCATCTTTTCTTTGCTTTTTCATAGTAAGAGGGGTTTTTCGAGTGTGGGCAACTAATCCTACGCCTCAACCCATTTTTTATAGTTCTTATGGGTGAACTCGCGCCACATATCAGCTCAATATTTCAATGGATGATGAAAATAGTTACCCCAAAATTTTATTGTATTTTCACTTACAGAGCAAATCAAATTATTCGTGAACGTTCCGATCAAACAGCATTATCGTTTATATATTTGGCTGCACCACCACCAATCGATTCACCTAATTTCCGAGAAATCAGTGCCCGCTATATGGAATTGTTGACAGAATTGACAGCTGAATTGCCGCCCACCATTTTAGTGCATGGCGTAAGTACGGTGACATCAACAACGCTATAAGCGTTCCACATACAACATGCAGATAGACGGCTACGACGACGAGTAAGAGTGACAAAAGCGAATGAATTATTTCTGTATTAAAAAAAGGATCGTATCATTTAGTGTGGATATCTTCGCTGAAATTGAACATAGAAACAAATATAAAGAATATCATGTATAAAAAAGTTTGTTATTGGTATTACATAAAAAATCAGCATTTTTTTTAATTATTATAATTCTATAAATATATATTAAATATTATTATGATTATTATTATTATTGTAAATTTATTAATATCTACACCAATATTTTATTTTAGAAAAAATTATTGCAACACCACCACCATCATATATTTAAGTAGTATATTTTTATTTTTGATATTTTATTTTTCTCTTTTAATTTTGTTAACTGATATCATATTTATAGTAGTCTATTTTATATATTTCGTACATATATGCATATTATGTGTATTATTGATAATCATATCACAAATTATAAAATATAAATGAAATCTTCCCTATAACAACATACATATAACACATATACAACACAACTTCAATACGTTTACACAGTTTTGAGATTTCTTAAAAAAAGATATATACACATATACATTTGTAATAACTAAACCAATTTCGTTTAATATTAACAAAAAATGCAAACAATTTATAAATATTTCGTTAAAAAATAATACATTATAATGAACATTGTGTTGTGTGCCTATCTTTAGCTGGAACCCAAATTTGCATATTTGCATTTGTGGCCGTAATCCAATGTTTATTCATCTACTTTTTTTGGTTTATATTGTATGTATAAAGCATTTGTTATTATGCCTAACTGTATTTCGTTTACTCTGATTTATTTATTGCATAGTGAATCATTTTAACATTCTTATTTTTGTAATTATATAATGTTCATATTGTGAAAGAAAATCTTCTGTAAAACTTTAAATAAATGTGATTTTGAACATGAACAATTCGTTAAAATAAATATGAGTATAATTTATTTAAATAAAGAAGCGTTTTTCATCACCTTAGTTTCTGCGAATAGCGCTTTGACTCACAGATCATTGTCCGAATATCAGCGTAGATTAGTCGACCGTATAAAACGCTATGGGCATGAACAGAAGAAAAAAAATGGTTAATATATTAACTAGTGTTAATGAAATAATAATTTTAAGAGGATAGCAGGAGAAATTGTGCCACCTGTATTGGTTGTAGCCATAAGCCTATGGACAGTGGACTTGTTGCCTTGGACGGATTTTGCAGATTATAATTGAAGATTTCGTTCCCGAAAGAAGTTAGTGACGGTTTACTTTGCGCTGATGTCGTCAATATATACACCTGGCGAGTTACTCTGTATTGCGTCACGAAAGCAAGTGCGATGCGAAAGCTAAATGCGTTAAGAGTACAATTGGGTACTCTGTATCGCTCACGCAAACGCATTCGCAAAATAAGTCGAAAATAGAGTAACACTTGCACCACAAAGTAAACAATAACGAAGAATGACGAAAGGAAACGTCAAAAATTTTTAAACAAACACATATTTTTATGTGGTACGAGTGTTTTTTTTTAAACAAAAATGATGAACGAATTAAAGAAAATAATTTTAAGAAATCGATCAAATATACTCTCCTTAAGTGAACACGGGTATGAAAATAGAAGTCGAATTATGTAACAAACGTTTTCAAATATTTAATTTTTATAAATTTATACAAATTTTTCGTCTCAATAAAGATGTGCTTATGTATTTAGTAAACGCTATTAAAAATGACCTCGTCATTCCAAATTGATCCACAGCAATTCCAACTCCAATAAAAGTGGCCGCTGCTTTGAAATTGCTTGGACAAGATGGTTTTCAACACCTACCTGTAAATATGCACACATAGTTTCACATTTTATATAAAAATATAAAACATTACTTTTTTCCAACCAGCGACATCTCTTACAGGAGGCCATTAGAATTAAGTTTTGTCTACAAATTGTTGTCACGTTGTTTCGCATTTGAACTCTGCAACTGTCCCTTTGCCAAATCACTGTGTTGCACCATAAAATCTACTAAAGTTTGGAACTGACGTTGCTGAGTCTGCAACTGTAACTTTTTTGGCTTTCTCCTAAAATAATTAACAATTTATATATAAATAAAACCTTTAATTGTGCTTACTTACATGTTTCGCTTCATTTGCGTTTGCTATTTTGTTAACGCAAGATATTTGCGTTTAACGAACGAGCGGTGATGCCACATTTGCGTAAAGTAGATGCGAAAGGAGATACGAAAACGAATTAGAGAGTGCCAATTACGCGATGCGATACAATTTTTCTTACGCATCGCAATACAGAGTAACCCCCGTGAATAAATAATCGCACAATCATCGGCGTACGACACCACTGAAACATCTGGTACAAAAATGGGGAACTTAGCAAGATATGACATCCCCACAATCTGAGCAGTTTAAATCATACAGATAGCTTGTTTTGAGTGGATGTGAAAAAGAAATCCAGAGTACAGGAAAAAACACTCTGTTTTTGCTAGAATCTAAAATTACACATTTGCTTCAAAGTCCCTTCTTACAACTGGTACGATAGCGAACATTTCTTGGGCAGCTTATAACGCATCAGTCATCGTTTATATTATCTTAATACAGACTGCATATTTGTTACTATCATAAAATTCAGCTAAACTTTTGGCTACCATTCATATTAGAGTCCCACGTTGGGCGCCATGAATATGAAATTCAGGAATTTATATTATCTAAATATAGACTGAATTTTTTACCACCATAAAATTCAGCTAAACTTTTAGCTGCCATTGATATTAGAGCTCCACGTTGGGCGCCTTGAATATGAAATTCTGCAATTAAAAAAGTAGTACAACAATATTTAAAGATCTTCAGATACTAGAAAAAATTCGGTTGAATTCCTGCCAAAAATACCAAATAATGTGGGGTAGCGTTATATGAGCGCTATTTTGAAACTTAATTTACTATGCAATAAGTACTCAAAATAACAAATTACAGACGATTCTGTCCATAAATATGCCAAAATTAAAAAAAAAACATTTGCGAGGTTTTTGGTGGGAAGATTTAACATCCAATGAGAACTAAAAATATAAAATTCGGCTGAAAAACGCTATATTGGGATTACACCAAAACGTGCACCGATATACATATTCCATTTGCAATACCAAACATCCTAAGAGTAGTGGCAATGTATGTGAAAATTAAAAAAAAACAGTAAGGAAAGTAGTAAAGTCGGACGGGCCGACTATATGATACCCTTCACCACTATGGGTATATTAAACAGGACTATTAGCATGAACATGAATGAAATAAAATATGTGATATTTATCTAAATGTGAATCTACGTAGATCTATCCATAAAGTATGTAAATCAACTTTAAACAAATATAAATAGGTCATCCGTTGGGCTATGTCTGTACTTCTAGAAAACGAAACTACATAATTCTATGCTCAATTTTGTACGTTGTGCAAAATTTGATGTCAAACTGACTAACATGAGGAGTTTGATGCCCAATTTACTTGAAATCGGGCCAAATATTAAGCGATTTCAAACAAACTTGTCACAGGATACGTTATACTAATTTCAGAACGTTTTGTTCCTATTGGTTTCTTGGTGCGTCAAGTACTTAAAATCAATATATAATAAAAGGGAGCTATACCTAAATGTGGACCGATTTTCACGAAACAACGCAGACATCAATCTAGGCTCAATTCAGTACGTTACGCCAAATGTCGTGCAAATCGAAAGATATATAGGGACTTTGGGGTACCATTTACATGAAATCGGACGAAACTATATATGGGAGCTATATCTAAATCTGGACCGATTTTCACGAAACATACATCATTCTAGACCTAAATAATTAGGCTGTACCAAATTTCGTGCAAATCGAAAGATATATAGGGACTTTGGGGCACCATTTACATGAAATCGGACGAAACTATAAGTGGGAGCTATATATAAGTGGGAGCTATATAGAAATCTGGACTGATTTTCATAAAACTTGGCAGACATCCTTCTAGGCTCAATTAAGTACGTTATGCCAAATTTCGTGGAAATCGAAAGATATATAGGGACTTTGGGGTACCATTTACATGAAATCGCACGAAACTATATATGGGAGCTATATCTAAATCTGGACCGATTTCCACTAAACTTAACATACATCATTCTAGACCTAAATGAATAGGCTATACCAAATTTCGTGCAAATCGAAAGATATATAGGGACTTTGGGGCACCATTTACATGAAATCGGACGAAACTATATGGGAGATATATCTAAATCAGGACCGATTTTCATGAAACTTGGCAGACATCATCGTTATGTCAAATTTCGTGCAAATCGAAAGATATATAGGGACTTTGGGGCACCATTTACATGAAATCGGACGAAACTATATATGGGAGCTATATCTAAATCTGGACCGATTTTCACGAAACTTTGCAGACATCATTCTAGACCTAAATGATTAGGTTGTACCAAATTTCGTGCAAATCGAAAGATATATAGGGACTTTGGGGCACCATTTACATGAAATCGGACGAAACTATATATGGGAGATATATCTAAATCAGGACCGATTTTCATGAAACTTGGCAGACATCATTCTAGACTCAATTCAGTACGTTATGCCAAATTTCGTGGAAATCGAATGATATATAGGGACTTTGGGGCACCATTTACCTGAAATCGGACGAAACTATATATGGGAGCTATATCTAAATCTGGACCGATTTTCACGAAACTTTGCAGACATCATTATAGGCCTAAATGATTAGCCTGTACCAAATTTCGTGCAAATCGAAAGATATATAGGGACCGTTTACATTAAATCGGTTAAATATATATATATATATATATATATATGGGAGCTATATCTAAATCTGAACCGATTTTTCCCAATTTCAATAGGGTTCGTCCTTGGGCCGAATAAGTGACCTGTGCCAAATTTCATCCAATTCGGATCATAAATGCGACCTGTACTTTGTTTACAATTTAACATGGACAGACAG